AGCCAGATTCGTTGTAGAGCTGACACCGTCGTTAAGTGAATCTGGCTTCCCGCATTGACTTTGCTGGCTAGGAAGTTTGCAGACTCGCGATTGAATGACAGTGGGATGCTGCAATCATTCTACATACATCCCAGTTGCCAAGCGTCCAAATTCTGATCATGTGACCACGGGGAAATGCTGCAACAATCAATAAGTGCGAGGACTGGTCGTAAGCCACTTTTTCTGGTGCCGTAACTTTAAACGGTCACTAAACAAGTGGTTAGAAGCCGAGGACTACTTGTACTAAGCAGTGGGGTTAAATAGATCATTCCATAGGCAGGCAGCCCCTCCCCTTTGCAAGATCCCTACTGGGTGATGCAGGAATAGCTCCGGACTGGCTGGCCTTGGAGCATCCCATGCGTTTCCCCTGCTGTTCCTCCTTCGGTGCCTGGTCTTTCCCTTATGAAGAGGGGACATTATGATGCAGGAGTCGGGGCTTCGCTTTGCAAGCTACAGTTTCAAAACGGGAGGGGAGACAGCGATGAAACTGTGGATCTGGTCCTTGCTTAAATTTGCTGCAGAGTTCTTTGCCTGTATCGATGGGAGTTGCTAAGTTAGTAGCATGGCAGTTAAGTGAATCTGGCTTCCCCCATTGACTTTGCTTGTCAGAAGGTCACAAACACCTGAGCCCAGGACATGGCAACCATCATAAGATACATGCCAGTTGCCAAATGTCCGAATTTTGTTCACGTGACCATAGGAGTGCTGCAGCGGTCATTAAGTGTGAAAAACGGTCGATAGATAGATAGATAGATAGATAGATAGATAGATAGATAGATAGATAGACAGACAGACAGACAGACAGACAGACAGACAGACAGACAGACAGACAGACAGACCCTCCCCCCAAAAGGAAAAAAGTGATAAAAGTACAGGTAGTCCTCGACTTACAACAGGTAGGTAGGTAGGTAGGTAGATGTGCTAGGATGGATAGATAGATAGATAGATAGATAGATAGATAGATAGATAGATAGATAGATAGATAAGATAGATAGATAGATAGATAGATAGATAGATAGTTGTGCTAGGATGGATGGATGGATGGATGGATAGATAGATAGATAGATAGATAGATAGATAGATAGATAGATAGATAGATAGATAGATAGATAGATAGATAGATGTGCTAGGATGGATGGATGGATGGATGGATAGATAGATAGATAGATAGATAGATAGATAGATAGATAGATAGATAGATAGATAGATAGATAGATGTGCTAGGAGATGGATGGATAAATAGATAGATAGATAGATAGATAGATAGATAGATAGATAGATAGATAGATAGATAGATATGGATAGAAATAGATAGCTGATAGATAGATAGATAGATAGATAGATAGATAGATAGATAGATAGATAGATAGATAGATGTGCTAGGAGATGGATGGACAGATAGATGATAGATAGATAGATAGATAGATAGATAGATAAATAGATAGATAAGGATAGAAATAGATAGCTGATAGATAGAGCACAGTGACACACATTAGAAATGAAATTTAGTTGCTCTCAAAGTGTACTCATACATAACACACATTTAAACATGCTATATACAACATATGTGTAGAGTGTAGACCTACACCCTTACATATAAGTAACATATAAATATTAATCTTGAATGCATAAACGGATGGAGGATGGAGGAAACTTTAGAGCTCACAAGGTTAATACTGTATGGAACAAAACTGTGACTGAATGTTCTGTTTCGGATATTATTATCATTTATTTGATTTTTATTCTGCCTTTATTATTGTTTATAAATAACTCAAGGAGGCCAGCATACCTCCTTCCTTCTCCTAATTTCCCCACAGCAACAATGCTGTGAGGTGGATTTCGGCTGGCCCAAGGTCATCCAAACAGTTTTCGTCCCTAAGGCGGGACTAGAACTCAACCTCTCCTGCTCTTTGGTCCAAAGTCATTCAGCATAAGGCAGGACTAGAACTCACCGTCTCCTGTTCCTAAGTTAGCACCTTAACCACTAGATCACAAGTCGGCAACCTGCAGCTCCGGAGCTGCATGTGGCTCTTTGAGCCTTCCCCTGCGGCTCCCAGCCTCCTCTGCCATTTGTAGAGACAGACAAAGAGAGGCACTTGCGCGCTCGCTCTCTCTCTCTCTCTCTCTCTCTCTCTCTCTCTCTCTTTCTCTCTCTCTCTCTCTCTCTCTGTGTGTGTGTAAAAAAAAGAGTGGACTCACGGTGTTCTCCAACAGTTGAAAAGCTTACTGGGCAGAGCTCCTCCCTTTGCTGCGTCTCTGCAGGAAGCAGGAAGGGCAGGAGAGAGCTAGCTAGCCCAGCTATGCTGGCTCAGGAATTCTGGGAGTTGAGGTCCATGAGTCATAAAAGAGCCGAGGTTGCTTACCCCTGAGCTTGTTGGAGAACAGCTTGAAGCCAGCTTGCCAGGTGAGCAGAAGATGGGACAGGGGGGGGGAGAGAAAGAGAGAGAGGGAGGGAGAAAAAGAAAGAGAGAGAGAGGAAAGAGACAGAGAAAGAAAGAGTGAGGGAAGAGGACAGGCAGATCAAGGGCAGAAAGAGAGAGAGAGAGAGGAAAAAGAGAGAAAGAGGGAAAGAGAGAAAGAAGGAGAAAGAGAGGGAGGGGGAGAGAGAGAGATCCTTTTGACATCTAAAATGAAGATAACACTGCATATACCCTTTTTTACCTTTATGATATATCGCCAAGACTCTTCCAATTTTACGTGGGAGAAAACCCGAATAACCAAAGACCTACATATATGTATATGTATATATAATGGTAAAAAAGGATATATGCAATGTTATCTTCATTTTAGATATCAAAAGGGTTTTGCGGCTCCCAGTGTTTTGTTTTCGGTGGGAAACAGGTCCAAGTGGCTCTTTGAGTGTTTTGGGTTGCCTACTCCTGCACTAGATCAAACTGGTTTTCCTCCCTGAGTATTGGCTGACCTGTTCCCTCTCTCTTCTCCCAGGTTGGGGAGTCTGTCTATCATACCACACGCTGGGTGACCCCCAGAGCTGATGAGCTGTACTTCCTTCAGCCATCCAAAGCTCAGAAAGATATCTTCTTAGGCTACACCTGGAGCACATAAGCAGACGGGTTGTGGAAGGACCCACCTCTCTCACTTTTCCAAGATGGAACACATTTCTTAATAAACTATTGCTCTCTGGAGCATCGATCCATTGCTGGCTGCATTTGTCTTTTCTGCCTTCTCCTCTTCCGTTTTGCCAATTATTTTATTGCCATAAACACTTAACAAAAGAAACCAAACAAGAAATAGGCAACCATCGACGTGCGTCACGAAAACAATGACAACCTTCAACTTTATCCCAACAAATGCATCAAAAAAGGCTTCTGTGAAAAATTGGCAAATGAATAGAGACAACTTTACTCTTGGTATAAAAAAAATGTATTACGATTGTTTAATGGTGAAATCGCCAAACCAGCTGATCCTTTCCCCTTTTACCGTTCTTGATTACGTTGCACTTCAGCCAAATCTGAACACTCTTTGTACATCCTCCGAGAAGCCGTGTAATTTGTGGGTTGCAACATACAATATAGATATTTTTTTAATTTATTTATATCCTGCCTTTATTATTTTTGATAAATAACTCCAGGCGGTGACCATACCTAATACTCCTTCCTTCTCCTATTTTCTCTACGGCAACCCTGTGAGGTAGGCTGGGCTGAGAGTATGACTGACAATCGCTTGCTTTTCTTCTAGACCAGGGATGTCAAACTCGCAACATCACGTGACGTTTCGTGGCATATTGCAACTTTTTTGCCATTGGCGGCAATGGGGTGGGCATGGTTTCACTATGATGCATCCAGCCTGCGGGCCAGCAGTTTGACATCCCTGTTCTAGATGGAAGTTGGAAGATGAGGTGGGGGTAATTTTCTCCTCAAACTTCCTATCCAGGGTCCAAACCACTGCAAGATAAATAAAAAAAAGAATATTTGTAACTCAGGATTAAATGGGCAGGGGGCAGAGTTTGCTGGTACTCTCTGAGCTTGGCTGTTCGCTTGCAGACGTTTCGTTACCAATCTGGGTAACATCATCTGTGCAGTGTGCCTTCATAGGTTCTCAGGAGGTCCAGTAATTTCAAGCCAAAACATCCAGATAAAAGTGCACTTGGCTAACCTTTCGCTATTTCCTCAGACTTAGGGAGAAAGCTTCATCCACATGAGAGCCGATGTTGAAAAATCCCCTTCTTGAATGGAAAACAAAGGAAAAACGGTCTTACTGGTGGTATCAACGACTTTTTCTAAGACTCGTGCGGTTCGGAAGCAGGAGCCACCCCCAAAATTATATTGCATGCCCTAAAATAGGCTTGACACTGCTATTTTAACCGTCTCCCAAATTTTCCAAAACTTGGGAAAGGAGAGGAGAGAAATCCCAGCCCTGCCTGTGATGTAATGTGGTTTTCTTCATTGGCTGCATTGGGACTTTTTCCCCTGCACCCCTTCTCCACTGTTCAGTTCTTTCCAGGACTGCCAAAAGATCAACTTGTTTTATGTCAGTGGTTCTCAACCTTCTTAATGCCGTGACCCCCCAACTGGTCGTAAGTCGAGGACTACTCAACTGGTGCAGCACCGTTTGCAGAATGGGACTTTTGGCGGGCTCAGCAGGGCAAAGACAGCCTGGACAATTCCTATTGGCTTTTGAAAGCCAATAGAATTAGACTCTATTCAAGAGAGTCTATTCTATTGGCTTTCAAAAGCCAATAGAATAAAAGGGAGTAGCACAGCTAAGGAAAAGGGGGAAAAAATGGCAGACTGCATTGTTTGGCGACCCCCGTGAAATGGTTGTTTGACCCCAAATGGGGTCCCGACCCACAGGTTGAGAACCACTGTTTTATGTACAGGTAGTTCCTCACTTACAACCATTTGTTGAGTAACCATTCAAAGTTACTACAATGCCCCCCCCCCAAAAGGGACTTATGACCATTTTTCACACGACCGTGGCAACATCCCCGTGGTCACAAATTCAGATGCTTGGCAAGTGGCTCATCTTTATGATGGTGACAGTGTCCCAGGGTCACCTGATCATCTTTTTGCGACCTTCTGACATGCAAAGTCAGTGCGGAAACCGGGTTCACTTAACACCTGGCACTAACTTAATGACTGAAGTTATTGACTTAACAACTGTGGCAAGAAAGGTCATAAAATGGGGCAAAACTCACTTAGCAACTATCTCACTTAGCAACATAAATTTGGGGCTCAGTTGTGGTCATAAGTCGAGGACTACCTATAATTGGGAACATACACACACACACATACCCTCCCCACAGCATTCTATGAAATTTAGATGTCAACCTTCAGCTCGAGTATCCAAATAAAGTCCAGAAATCACTTTCATCTCTGAAAAACTTACTGGTTTATTGAATATATGGCATGGTATAGGCCAGGGGTAAGGAACATTGGCTCTTTTATGACTTGCCACTTCAATGCCCAGAATTCCTGAACCAGCATGTTGACTCAGGAATTCTAACCCCAATGAAATGTTTAGGGCTTTATTGGATGTGATGTGATTAAGACAGTTTCCAAAATAATTGTAAAAAAACATGGGAAGAAATAAAACAAGACCTTGAAAGATGGAAGAGCTGAAAAATGTCCTGGCGAGGACTTATACCGCAATAGTACTGTAAAAGTGAATATATTACCCAAGATAATTTAATTAATTAATGAGTTAAAATCCCACTTCAAATGTGTGAGAGGACCGATTGCCTGCAAAATGGCTAGCACCTGGGTTGTTGTGCCCTGACTCTTCAAGACAGGGGTCTTCAAACTTGGCCCTTTTATGACCTGTGGACTTCAATGCCCAGAATTCCTGAACCAGCCATGTTGACTCATGAATTCTGGGAGTTGAAGTTCACGAGTCATAAAAGAGCCAAGGTTCCCTACCCCTGGTATAGGCGAAGGAAAACTAACTCTAAAATCCCAAGACATCTAACCAAAACATATAACATTTCCAGCCAAAACTCCCAGATGTCTACATAGTTCATGTGAACACCTTGTTGTTTTGAGAACCTTCTGGTATTTTCTCCACAGTGATTAGAACGTCCTTGAAAAGTTTCCATACATCTTTGTCTCAACAAAACATCTGCAGAACTGGGGAGGTTTTGTTTCTCTAACTAACCCATTTGAAGTCTGATCTCCTCCCCCCTTACTCTAATGACAAGATGAAAACAATAAAGCACGTAGCTGGTAGCTGCCAAGTTTTCACTCTTGACGGTTAAGTCTGATTCTTCGAGATTAATGCATCCAAAGCAAAATTGTCATAACAGGAACTGGTGGTGGTGTTTGTCTAAGAATCCGGGCTCCGGAGAGGACTGCTCTTTCATTTAATCCAACAGGATTCTTCTAATGGAAAGGTAGCAGCTTAAGGACCTGGGGGCACCTGTAACACACCTGTGCCTTGAAGAACGCTGCTGTAGTTCCCAATCAGTCTAATTAACCTGTTCTTGGCAGTCTCCATATCAGTGACCTCAAAAGCCTTCTGCCCCACGTCTGCTTTCCCATATGTCCAGGGCTGAATCCGAGGAAGCTCCAGGAAGTCGTTCTGGTTCTCCCTGAAAAGCAGTGGGGGGTAGGGGGGGCGAGGGAGAGAGAATTTGTGGGAGGTAATTCACACAATTGTCCCTATTCTTTTCAATGTAGATGTAGTCCTCGACTTACAATTGTAATTGAGCCCAGAAATGGCCATAAGTCATTTCAGTTGTTTACTAGGTCACCATGTGACTGCACCCAATTTTCCTACCATTTTTTTTGCAGCAGTCATTAAGTGAAACACCATGGCTGTTAAGCGAATGTGGTGGATGTTAAATGAATCTATTGTCCAGTGGGTGGTTTTTTTTTTTGTTGGAGACTAGAAATAAACATCCATCTGGCAAAAAAAAAAAAAACCTCCGTAAAGCATAGTCACGTGACCCTGAGATGCTGCAAAGAGGCATAAATGAGGACCAGTTGCCGAGCATCCAAAACCTAGTCACATGATCGTGTGTGGGGGACAGGTGCTGAAACTCTGAATCTGGATCGTCAGTCGCCCTGGGGAGGCCTGTTGTAATTTGAACAGTTGCTCAGTAACCAGTCGTAAGTTGAGGATTACTCATAATATTATTGCTTTGCCAATTCTGTCCCAAAGAGAGTTCGCCTTGCAAATCGGAGCAGAACAAACTGGTTGCATTTCACACCGCCTCCTGTTTTTTCAGGGACCCATCAGAGTCCTCCTGGATGAAGGGGTGTCCACGGGATGCGATTTAAAACGTAGAGACAGACAGGACAGGACAGTTCAATCTTTGCCCATTTTGGGGGGCCTCTTCCCTTTTGGAACCCCAAAGGTGCTTTTCCAGAAGCAACTGGATTTTCTTGTGTTTTTTTTTTAAACGTTTCGCTTCTCATCCAGGAAGCTTCTTCAGTTCTGACTGAATAGTGAGGAGCTATATCAGAATTGGAGAAGCTTGGATGAGAAGAGAAACGTTTTCAAAGAAAAAAGCCAACAAAAAGCATCTTTGGAACCACCGTGACCTGGATGATGGTTGAGAATCTCCATAGATACCTCTTTTGGGAACGTACCCTGTGGGCATTGTGTGCCAAGGAGAGCCAGCCAGTGGATGATGGAACAACATGTCCCGGATAAGTAATGGAAGATGGGGCTGGAGGAGACCGCTGGAATAACCGTTTCAGACAAACAGACGGGATTACTGTTCAGCCTGCAGAAAAGTGCCAGAAAGGTATTGGAGGAGGAAGAGGAGGAGGGGGGGCCAAATTCTTACCTGTGATCTGATTTGTATGCGTTGCCCCTCAGCAGTTCTTCCCGCAAGGAACGCAGGACTTTTGCAATCAGCAGGTGGTTGCTACTCGTTGTAGTTTCCTGCAGCTTTTGCAAAAGCAGTTGTGTGGGAAGTTGGAAATCTGGCGAGGAAGCAGTGGGCTGGGGAAATGGAAAGCAGAAAGTTGATTGCAGGATTTGTCTAGCACATTGGTTCTCAACCTGTGGGTCGGGACCCCATTTGGGGTCGAACGACCATTTCACGGGGGTCGCCAAACAACGCAGTCCGCCATTTTTTCCCCCTTTTCCTTAGCTGTGCTACTCCCTTTTATTCTATTGGCTTTTGAAAGCCAATAGAATAGACTCTCTTGAATAGAGTCTAATTCTATTGGCTTTCAAAAGCCAATAGGAATTGTCCAGGCTGTCTCTGCCCTGCTGAGCCCACCAAAAGTCCCATTCTGCAAACGGTGCTGCACCAGTTGAGTAGTCCTCGACTTAACGACCGGTTGAGTAGTCCTCGACTTACGATCGGTTGGGGGTCGCAGCATTAAAAAGGTTGAGAACCACTGGTCTAGCAAATCAAGTGGATTTGTCTTTTTAATCTTTTTTCACTTACTAATACAGGTAGTAGAACATCAGAATAATAGAGTTGGAAGGGACCTTGGAGGTCTTCTAGTCCAGTGGTAGGCAACCTTGGCTCTTTTATGACTTGTGGACTTCAACTCCCAGAATTCCTGAGTCAGCATGGCTGGTTCAGGAATTCTGGGTATTGAAGTCCACAAGTCATAAAAGAGCCAAGGTTGCCTATCCCTGTTCTAGTCCAACCCCCTGCTCAGGAGACCCTCTACCATTTCAGACAAATGGTTGTCCAGTCTCTTCTTAAAAACCTCAAGTGTTGAACCATCCACAACTTCTGGAAGCAAATCGTTCCACTGATTAATTGTGGAAATTCTAATTGTCAGGAAATGTCTCCTTAGTTCTAGGTTGCTTCTCTCCTTGATTAGTTTCCATCCATTGCTTCTTGTCCTCCCTTCAGGAGCTTTGGAGAATAGCTTGACCCTCGTCTTTGTAGGAGGCCCTCAACTTACCTTCAATGTATGATCACAATTGTCAGTGGAACTTTTGTCGCTAAACAATGCGGTCATGAAGTGAGTTGTCCTCGATTTTATGGCCTTTTTTACGATGGTCATTATGTTAAATGAAGCTGGCTTCCCCCATTGACTATGCTTGCTGAAAGCCAGCTGGAAAAGTTACCAATGGTGTTTATAAGACCCTAGGATGCTGCCAGTTGCCAACTACCCAAATGCTGATCATGTGATTGTGGGGACACTGCAACAGTCATAAGTGAGAGGACCATTATAACTTTGGAACATTCACTGAAAGAGTAATGTAAGCCAAGGACTACCCATAATTTCAGGCAATCAACAGGTGGGCTCAGCCAGTAATCTGTGAGTGGGGAAGCAAAGCAAGACCTGGCTTAGTTGGTTCTTGGGTGGGAAAACTCCACAAACTTTCTTCAAACACCCCAGAAGGTTCGGGAAAATCATTTCCAAATTGCTACTAAGAAAGCTGCACAAATGTGTCCATGAAATTACCAGGAGGTGAGCCAAATTTGGTTGATACTTTGCCTTAAATTGTTTTAAATAAAACTGTGGCTTCCCTAGCAAGCTATATCCAGAGGTAGAAATATGCTTTACTGATACAGAATAAGATGAATGAAACATTTTGAATGAAGGACTCAATGGTGATACATACCCCAGTAGATGCATACTCTGTCATTTGGTTACCCAATTAAAATGAATTGCACAAGGAAAAGACAAAAGAGCAGCTTAAATATAAATTAATTTGGCTACTCACCAAGGTCACACACAAGCCACAAAAAAATCTTACTGCTTGTCATTTGATGTAGGTGTTCACCTAGAAACCAGGAGACTGTGAGTTCCAGTCCTTCCTTAAGCATGAAAGCCAAATGGGTGACCTTGGACCAATCACCAGAAGACTCTGAGTTTTAGTCCCGCCTTAGGCATGAAAGCCAAATGGCTGACTTTGGATCAATCACCAGGAGACGGTGAGTTCTAGTCCCGCCTTAGGCATGAAAGCCAAATGGCTGACTTTGGACCAATCACCAGGAGACGGTGAGTTCTAGTCCTGCCTTAGGCATGAAAGCCAAATGGCTAACTTTGGACCAATCACCAGGAGACGGTGAGTTCTAGTCCCGCCTTAGGCATGAAAGCCAAAAGGGTGACTTTAGACCATTCACCAGGAGATGGTGAGTTCTAGTCCCACCTTAGGCATGAAAGCCAAATGGGTGACTTTGAACCAATCACCAGGATACTCTGAGTTCTAGTCCTGCCTTAGGCAAGAAAGCCAAGTGGGTGACTTTGGACCAATCACACTCTCTCAGCCCAATTCACCTCACAAGGTTGTTTTTCGGGCGGGAGGGGGAGGAAGGGAAGAAGGAGTATTAAGTACGTGCATGGCCTTGAATTATTTACTATAAAGTAATAAAGGTGGATAAAAATAAAATAAATAAATAAGTTTTATCTCCTGCCTAAAACTCAAGATAGAAAAATGGAAGTGAAAACAGCCTGAAACTGTGCTGTCCAATTCAGCCATTTTGCTGCTTAATATGGGCATGTGACGGCTGGCTTATGACCGTTTTTCACGCTTACGACCCTTGCAGCAGGTGATCAATGATCACGTGATCAAAATCCAGATGCTTGCTACTGACTCATATTTATGACGGTTTCATTGTCCCCGGGTCATGTGATTTCCCCCTTTGCGACCTTCTTACAAGCAAAGTCAATGGGGAAGCCAGATGCACTGAACAGCTGTGCTACTAATGGTATAACAACTGCAGTGATTCACTGAACACCGGTTAGTAAGAAAAGGTCATAAAATCGCTCTAAGGTCATTTAACTGTCTCGCTTAGCAAGGGGAATTTTGGGCTCAATTGTAGTCATAAGTCGAGGACAACTGGTAATGGATTTCCCACCATTCCTGTGGGCTTTCTTCTGAATGCGTTGCCTTGCCCACGCCCTCCAAGACAGACAAGGAATCCCCACCTCCAACCCAGCCATCCGGGTTTGTGGGGACAGCTGGCTTGCCCCCCAAAAGTGCAAAGGTGCCCACCAGTCCCCAAGAAGCTTCTTCTGGTCCTCCTCCTGGTTCTGCTGGTCTCTTTTCCTGCAGAGGAGCATCCTTCTGGAGGTTACCCTTGGAGAAGAGAAGCGGCTTGTGGAGCTGTGGTTGGAAAGTCTGGATGGCAGGCAAGGGGATTTTCCGAAGCTGGGTTGATTCTTCCGGAAGTACCCAAATGGTTCTTTTGGAGATCTTGATCTTCTTTCTGCGAAGCTTGGAAGCTCCAATAGGAGGCAAGAAGAGATGAACTCTGGGAATCCCACGATCCTCGGAAAAATCAGCAGGCGTTTCGGTAGCCCGATCTTCACCTCCTCCTTCCAAGAGACCTTCACCTCTGGGATCACCAGAGGTGGAAGGACACCTCTCCTGCAGAGGCTGCTTCTCCAACGGTTTCTTTTCCCAAGAGTCCACAGGATCCATGACGTTCTCCAGGAGGGGTCGAAGGTCGACTAAGATTTTTCGGGTGGGCTGCTTTTCTGAGGGGACCCAGGTCTTTGGGGAAGACAAAAGTGGTGGATCTTCTTGGCTGCAACCTGTCCAGAGGGGTGGCAATTTGCTTTCTCCGTTCTTTTTTCTCGTGATGCCATCTTCATTCCTGAAACCTTGTTTGGATGCCGCTATCAAACTTCTCTCTTGATTCCTGGTTTTTCTAGTTGTCACTGAAATTAAAAGGAGAGAGAAAGAGAGAGAGAGAGAGAGAGAGAGAGAGAGAGAGAGAGAGAGAGAGAGGATTGTTTAAAAGTTTTTTAAAGTTTTTAAGAAGAGACTGGACAGCCATTTGTCTGAAATGGTATAGGGCACAGGTTGGCAACCTGCGGCTCCGGAGCCGCATGCGGCTCTTTGAGCCTTCCCCTGTGGCTCCCAGCCTCCTCTGCCTTTGCAGAGAGAGACAGAGACAGAGAGAGGCAATTGCGCTTCCCTGTTTCTCTCTCTCTCTGTGTGTGTGTGTGTGTCTCTGTGTGTGTTTTGTGTGTGTGTGTGTGTGTGTGTGTGTGTGTGTGTGTGTGTGTGTGTGTGTGTTTATGTGTAAAAGAGAGTGCACTCACAGTGTTCTCCGAGGAGCTGAAAAGCTTTCTGGGCAGAGCTCCTCCCTTTGCTGCGTCTCTGAAGGAAGCAGGAAGCAGGAAGGGCAGGAGAGAGCTAGCTAGCCCAGCTAGGCTGACTCAGGAATTCTGGGAGTTGAAGTCCATGAGTCATAAAAGAGACGAGGTTGCCTACCCCGGAGGTTGTTGGACAACAGCTTGAAGCTTGCCAGGTGAGCAGCAGATAGGAGGGGAGGGGGAGAAAGAGAGAGAGAGAAAGAGAGAGAGAGGGAGAGAGAGAGAGAGTGGGGGAAGAGGAGTGGCAGACCAAGGGCAGATAGAGAGGGAGGGAGAGAGAGACCCTTTTGACATCTAAAATGAAGATAACACTGCATATATCCTTTTTTTACCTTTGTGTGTATGTAATTTTATTCTCTTAAAGCATTCTCTTGGTGATCATTATTTTAATAGTATGGATATTCCCAAGAGTCATATTTTTACTTTTATTTTTAATGTGTATATGTGTCTGTGTGTCTGTCTGTCTGTGTGTGTGTGTGTGTGTGTTTATATACACACACACACATACACATACACACACCTATAATAAAGGTAAAAAAGGATATATGCAGTGTTATCTTCATTTTAGATATCAAAAGGGTTTTGCGGCTCCCAGTGTTTTGTTTTTGGTGGGAAACGAGTCCAAGTGGCTCTTTGAGTGTTTTGGGTTGCCTACCCCTGGTATAGGGTTTCCTGCCTGAGCAGGGGGTTGGACTAGAGGACCTCCAAGGTCCCTTCCAACTTTATTATTATTATTATCATCATCATCATCATCATCATCATCTATTCACATGATCCTTTCGTAAGCTGGAACCCTCCAGATTTTTAGCTCTTCAACTCTCATCATTTATGGCTGATAGCTAAAGAATGACTACTATACAGATAATCTTCGACTTACCACCACAACTGAGCCCAAAATTTCTGTTGCTAAATGAGACATTTGTTAAGTGAGTTTTGCCCCATTTTATGACTTTTCGTGCCACAGTTCAGAGAATCATCGCCGTTGCTAAGTGAATCCGGCTTCCTCATTGACTTTGCTTGTCAGAAGGTCGCAAAAGGAGATCACATGACTCCGGGATCACATGCAACCGTCATAAGTATGAGTCGGTGGCCATGCTTCTAAATTTTGATCACATGACCCTGGGGATGCTACAACAATCGTAAGTATGAAAAAGTATAAGTCACTTTTTTTGGTGCTGTTGTAACTTTGAACGGTCACTAAATGAACTGTTGTAAGTCAAGGACTACCAGTAATCTCCATTGCGTAATCTAATCAATCTCTGCCACTTTTAGGCCTGCCCCAGCGACCTCAGTCACCTCAGAAAAGCAGCCCCCCTGAAAAATCGTAGTTGTCCATCCTCCTGGAGAATGTCATGAATGTCATTCTATGATCATGTGATCAAAATCTCTATTGCATAAACCAGAGGACCCCAACCTTTCTGTGGAGAAAAATTTTTCCACGGACCAGAGGGTGCGTGGTTTTGTGTGCTCCCTGCATCCCACGGATGGGGCTTTGCTTGTTTGTGCGGACTGGTTGCTGGCATGCTATGGCCTGATACCGGTCCACAGACCAGGAGTCAGAGACCCCTGGCATAAGCTAATCATTATTTTTTTTAAAAGTGCATATCTTCACAGGTGGCAGTCTCCTAACTATTTTTGGATCCAGTTGTCGAACACTGATGATGTTATCTAGTTGGGTAATGAAACGTCTGCAAGAAAACAAGCAAGTTCAGAGAGCATCAAGGACTCCACATTTCAACCCCAAGCTACCAATATTCTCCTTTATTATTATTTTTGGATCCCTGTTCTACACTGCTAGTAGAGCTAGATAGAAACAGATACAGGCAGTCCTCATTTAGTGACCACAACTATAACCTGTAAGTCATTAAGCAAAGTGGTCATCACAATTGTGCTTATTTCAGCATCCCTTTGATTTACAGCCCTGCTCAGGTTGTAAAATTGAGAATTGGTCGTAAAGTTACTTTTTCTTTCACCATCATTGTAACTGCAAACAGTTGCTAAAGAGTCAGTTAACGAGGACTACCTATATGTGGACAAAGAGAGAGGGACTGAGACTAAACCTTCCATTTTCCAGCTCCCAGGTTAAAAAAAAGCAGAAATTTCAAATAATCCAAATTGGTAATCCAAAAAGCTCGGTATGCAGAATGGAGATTATGAACATGATAATCCATAATCTGAGAAATATCCAGAATACAAGTAGTCCTTGATTTACGACCACAACTGAACCCCAAATTTCTATAGTTAAGCGAGACTGCTGTTTAGTAAGTTCCCCCCCCCATTTTATGACCTTTCTTGCCACAGTTGTTAAGTGAACCCCTGCAGTTGTTAAGTTAGTAACACGGTTGTTAAGTGAATCTGGCTTCCCCATTGCTTGTCAAAAAGTCACAAAAGGGGATCACGTGACCCTGGAATGCTGCAATGGTCGTAACTATGAACCAATCCAAGCATCTGAATGTTGATCACATGACCCTGGGGATGCTGCAACGGTCGTAAGTGTGAAAAATGGTCATAAATAACTTTTTTCAACGCTGCTGTAACTTTGAATGGTCACTAAATGTTCAGTTGAAGACTCCCTGTATTTTCAGTGTGGGGGGGTTCATATCTAGCTTTTCGGAACAGCAAGGCAGGCTCTGCATTTGGACAGCTCAGTTAAGGTGGAAACTGCACACGCCGTACCTTTGGATGGGATCTTACTCTGGGGAACCTGGAAGACAAGATTGGTCCAAACAACGCACGGCAGCTTCAGCTGATCCCGGGAATCCTGGCCTGAGAGCCCCACAGCAGCTGCCTTCATCTTTCCCAAGGAGGGAGCTTTTTCGCCTGTAGTGAACAAAATGGGTGTACAGAGTTGGAAGGGACCTTGGAGGTCTTCTAGTCCAACCTCCTATACCAGGGGTAGGCAACCTTGGCCCCTTCATGACTCGTGGACTTCAACTCCCAGAATTCCCGAGCCAGCATGGCTCAGCTTGGAAACCTCTCCTTTTCCCCTCAGCATGGCTGGCTCAGGAATTCTGAGAGTTGAAGTCCACAAGTCATAAAAGAGCCAAGGTTGTCTACCCTGTCCTATATCATCTTAGACAAACGGCTGTCTAATCTCTTCTTTAAAACTTCCAGGGTTTTTGCACATCCAAAATTTCTGGTGACAAGTCGTTCTGCTGATTAATTGTACAGATAGTTCTCACTTAACAACTGTTTGCTGAGAAACTATTCAAAGTTATGATGCCCCTCGCCCAAAAAAAGATCCTTATGACCTAGTTCCAGAGTTTCAACAGCAGCATTCGCACGGCCCGATTTTGGGCACTGGTTCACTTTTACAAGTGGTTGCAGCATTCAGTACCATGTGATGCAAAATTTGCGGTCCATGAAAACACATTGATTCTCTCAACCACCACTTAAGATCGCAAATTCAGCTCGGTCCTATGGGTGCCTCGACTTAAAACATCATCTTGACAATCGCCCAGCTACTTCAGCAGTTCTTGCCCTGAGTAAAGGGTTGGACTAAATGACCTTTGAGGTCCCTTCCAATTCTGAATGTGCATTTCTGGAAGTCCAGAACATTTGTTTCTTTATCGGCTTGTTAGACTCCCTCCTGCCTCTCCTTCAGGCAGCTAAGAAGTGGGAACTGTGAATGCAAACTTTAAAGTTTGACCTGGACTGGAGATATTTCAGCAGGAATAAAAAAATGGGGAATGCAGCCTTAGCCCCACAGAATGAGGGAACTGGGGTTCAGCAAAAGCAGAGAGAAAAAAACACTCCCCTCCCCTTGACATCTTTAAGTCTCCCTGTCTTTTGACTTCTCAGCTTAGGACTACCGTTGAGACTGGAACTTCCATCGCTAAGCGAAGCAGACATATTAAATGAGCTGAGCCCGATTTTACAACTTTTTGCCATAGTTAAGAGAATCCAGCTTTCCCCACCGGCTTTCCTCGTCAGAAGGTCGCAAATGGCAATGACGTGACCTTGGGACACCGTTGTAAACACACGGCAATTGCCAAGTGTTCAAACGACCACAAGCCCGCTGCAACAGTTGTGAAGTGCAAAAACCGGATCCTTAGTCCCTTTTTTCAGCGTCATCGTAATTTCAAAGAATTGTTAAACGAATGGTTGTAAGTTGAGGACTATCCGAAGAGAATTAATTTTCATTGTTCAGCCTTTGTATTGTATCAAAGTGCCAGGCATGAAATAAATATAGCTACAGTTAGTCCTCAAGTTGCAACCACAATTGAGCGCAAACTTTCTTCTGTTGCTAAGCGAAAGTGTTGTTGAGAGTGAGTTTTGCCCCATTTTACAATCTTTTTTTTTTTTTTTGCCACAGTTGCTAAGTGAATCCTTGCGGTTGTTAGCAACACGGTTGTTAAATGAATCTGGCTTCCCCATTGGCTTTGCTTGTCAGGAGGTCACAAAAGGGGATCACTTGATCCCAGGACACTGCAACATTCATAAATATAAGACAGTTGCCAAGCAACCAACATTTTGATCTGGTGACCCTGGGGATGCTGAAACAGTCATAAGTGTGATAAATGGTCATAATTCACTTTTTTCAGTGTCACTGCAACTTTGAACCGTCACTAAACAAATGCTTGTAAGTCGAGGACTACCTGTATATATACCATCATGCCCAAACTCAGAGGACAAATTTTGACAAGAAAGAGTTAACGGCCAATTTCTCAGCGGATGAATTTTACAACATGAAACTTTTAACTGCTCCCTCCTTTTAATCATCCTGTCCTGTTGGCTGGGATCAAACAATTCACCTGTCAGCTTTTGAGCCTAGCCCTAATTTTCTCACCTCTCACAAAGCTGCTGGAAACAGACGAAGCTCCTGATCGATGGATTTCATATTTAAAAACTTCAGATTTTAAAATAAAACACCTTGAGTGGAAAGAAGGAAAAGCAAGCAGCAAGGAGATTCAGGTGAGTGGATACCAAGGTCACCTAATCAAAATTTACAGATTACTTACTGAGGAGATTTTTTTTTTCCAACCAGTCCATGACGATGGACTGATCCACGGGAATCAGACCTGAGCTCTGGATTTCAAGCAATTCAAGATCTCAAGAGTTTGTCTTTTGTTTCCCTTTCCACCCCTTTGTGTGCCTGCTCTATTTGAACACCTCTAGTAACTAAGCAATGGAGGCAGACGCACCGTTCCTACCTCCAAGACAAAAATCATAAACCATATTTAAATATCCAATAGTAGCCTGATTATTGCATGGCTGAGGGGGGACAAAAGGCAGGGGTAATTCTTAAGGTGGAATGATATTTGATTTTCTGAAATAGATAAGGTTGCCAAAGCATTAAAAAAATATGGCACAGTAGGGCAATGTTGGAAGAAGGAATCTTTGCCTACTTTGCAAGAATGGTTTCTTAAAGTTTCTTACTTAGCGGAGATGGCAAAGATTTCGGCTTTCTTGAAAGATCAGTCACAAGAGAAGTACCTTTTGGTATGGAAAAGGTGGATAAATTTTATACAATACACGTATGATATAAAAAAATATTATTTAGCTTTTGAATAATTTATATTTAAAGTTTAAGATATTTTTTAGATATTCTTTTCTTTTTTTTAATTTTCTTTTTCTTTTTTCTTCTTTTTCTTGTTTCTTTTTTTTCTCTCTTTCTGCTTTTCAAATATTGGTGTTAAAGTATTTTATAATTTGTTTAATTATTGTAACCAAATTTGTATATGGTTTATTTGTGTTTAAAATTTTTTCTTTTAAATCTTAATTAAGCCTGTATTCAGCTCTGGGAAGGTTGGGGGAGGGTTGGGGTGGGTTGGGAGGGTTTGGGGAAGGGAACTTTTTGGAAAATTTTAAAAATTTTCAATAAAAAAAAATATGGCACAGGAGTTTCTTTATTATAAAACATTGCATGAAAACAGTGGAACCAGCGAATAACAACAGAATAACTTTTAATCAAATAAGAACAGAATAACAGAGTTGGAAGGGACCTTGGAGGTCATCTAGTCCAACCCCCCTACTCAAGTAGGAGACCTTAAACCATTCCAGACAAGTGGCTGTTCAGTCTCTTCTTAAAAACCACCAGTGATGAAGCACCCACAACTTAATGGAGGCAAGCCATTCCACTGGTTTATTGTTCTCACTGTCAGGAAGTTTCTCCTTAGTTCTAGGTTGCTTCTCTCCTTGATTAGTTTCCATCTGTTGCTTCTTGTCCTGCCTTCAGGCGCTTTGGAGAAAAGCTTGACTCCCTCTTCTTTGGGGCAGCCCCTGAGATACTGGAACACTGCTATCATGTCCCCCCTCGTCCTTCTCTTCATTAAACTGGACATACCCAATTCCAGCAACCGTTCTTTATATGTTTTAGCCTCCAGTCCCCTAATCATCTTTGTTGCTCCTCTCTGCACTCTTTTTAGAATCTCAACATCTTTTTTGTATCATGGCAACCAAAACAGGATGCAATATTCTATTATAAAATTTGGGAACCTTGGAGGTCTTCTAGTCCAACCTCAAGCAGGAGACCCCTCTAACTTTTCAGACAAATAGTTGTCCAATCTCTTTTTAAAAACTTCCAGTGTTGAAGCATCCACAACGTCTGGAGGCAAGTCATTCCACTGATTAATTGTTCTGTCAGGAAATTTAAGAGGAAAAAAAAAAACAATTTTGAAAATGCACAATCCAAAATTGCAGGCGTACACATAATGGTTTGCTGTAATGATTTAAAAAACCTCGGGACTTCCGGTGGGATGTGTCAAAGCCAGCTGAGACAGCGAGCAATAGCTGTCTCCCGGCTTGGAACCTCTCTCCCAGGGCGAAGGGGAGGAGGTGAGCTTTCCTCAGATAGTGGTTAAGCTCCCTGAGGCCCCAAAGTTTTCTTTTTTGGTGGTCAGAGGGTGAGAGCTCCCACGGAGTCTGGCGTGTTCTCCACATTCCAGGATGCCTTTGCCCTGATTTTTCCAGGGCAAAGCTAGATGCTGCTTCCAGATCTGCACTTAAAATGAACGTGTGAGTAAATTTTAAAGCAGACACAGCTGACCAGGAGAGATTAAAATGGGGATTATTTCGGACTTTAACTCTGGAAAATAACTTATCTTCTCCTTCCTTTAATTAAGGGTGGTGAAAAATGGCGCTGAGATGTTGATTCACTGAGTGAAAGGACCGGAACTTCTACTTGGAACAATGTAACAGATTTTGTATTTATATAAATTGCAAGAATCTTCTTTTTTTCTTTTAAGGGGGCTTTTGTCTTTTTTCCCCTTCTCCTTTTTTCTTTTTTTTTGTTTGGGGGGGGTATTTGTTGATTTTATAAGATTTTAGCAGACTTTTTATAAGTGGTCCTAAAAATAAAATGGCTTCAAAGCATCTCGGAGCTTCTGTTGCTTCTAAAGCCTCAATCTTCCCGGTAATGCAGACAGCTCAGCAAGCTAAGTCTAAGTTTCCACCACTTTCTCCATTGTCTCCAGCATGTATACTTAAAGATTTACAGGATGCCTTGGAAAAACAGGCACGACAGATTAAAGAAGAGATGGAGGTTCTTATTGAAAATATATTCATGAAATTGACAGAGGACATAGAATTTGCGTTTCAAAAGTTTGTTGGTCATATAGATCTTTTGGATGAGCGTATTGATGTTGCGGAAAATTTTGAAAAACTGAAAGATCGAATTAACAAAGTGGAAAATAATGTGGAAATAATACAGGATGAAGTTACTATGTTACAATACAAAAACATGGAATTTGCTTTAAGAATAAGGGGAATGAAAGAAAATATTCAAGAGGATTTGAGACAAGTGGTGGTAAAAGATATTGCTCTTATTTTGGGGGCTGAGCCTGAAGAAATATTGAGAGAGACGGAAAAAGTTTTTAGGGTTAATTCTAGGGTTGCAAGACAGAGGAATTTGCCACGAGACGTGGTTATCTATTTTTCTAGGAGATCACTTTGTAATGAAATTTTACAGGCTTTTTATAAGCAGAGATTTCAAATTGCAGCTCAAGATGTTATAATTTTAAAAGAAATACCTTCAAAAATTCTTAGAAAAAGAAAGGATTTTGCTTTTTTGGTTGATGAGCTCAAAAAACGCCAGGTTCGATTCCGATGGGATATACCGGTTGGAATAGTCCTGAATTATGCGGGGATATATTATAGACTTAATACAATGTCAAAGGCAAAAGATTTTTACATTTCGGTTTTGAAGGTGGGTTCTCCATTATTTTTACGACCTGAGATAATAGAAGAAAAGTTGGAAGAGCAGCCGGTTGAAAGTGCTATGCTATTGGATGTGGGAGACGAACAGGCTGAACATTTGCAGCAGTCTCTTGAGACAGAAGATTTTTTAAAGGAACCGAGAATGACTCGTGCAGCCTATAGACTTAAATTAAAAGAACTGCAGAAGATAGATGTTGGAATAAAGAAAAGGAAATGATGAACTTTTGTAGTAGTTTTTTGAGATAGAAGATGTTTTAAAGGAAAAGTGAATGATTTGTATTTAGTATGTTTTAAAGGAACAGTGAATGATCTGTGTAGTATGTAGATGTAAAGTAAAAGAATAATAGAAGGTGTTGATTTAGTGGAAAAGTTTAAATATTTGGGAGTATATATATTATAAATTCTTAATTTAAAGTGAAAGATAATTATGAAATATTATGGGTAAATGTGTAAAAGAATTCAAAATTTTAATGATCTCTGTTGGTGAGAATTTTAGAAGATGAATGGTTTGCTGAAACTTTTTAAGTAGGAGGGTATTAATAGACTTTCTTAGGGGTAAAAAGCAAAGAGCCAATTTTATCGAACATAAGTTTGTTGGTTAGGTTATATTGGAGGGAAAATTTTGTGTTTATTATGGACAAATGGTTGTTTAAAAGAAATATACACCTCAGCGAGGTGAAGATGGATAAATTATATATAAATAAGGGTTATGATATGGGTTTAAAATGCATTATGCAGATTATGAATTATTTATAGTTTTTAATTTGGAAATGCTTATATTGTTAATTTTTTTTTGTATTTGAGTTAAAGTATATTATCAATTTTATTATTTGTATAGTTGGATAAGTTTATTTAGAATTTGTTTGTTTATTTGTAACCCTGTAACCAGCTCTGGGAAGTGAGGGAGGGAGGAGGGGGTTATTTTAGAGGGGGATATTGTTTAAAACTTGTATAAAACTTTTCAATAAAAAAAAAACCCTCATAATTTCATTGATGAATGTGATGAAAGAAAGACACATAATTTTGTATTAGCATCCCACCAGGCTCTGAAATTCATTAAAAGTGAGAAATATAACTTGAGAGATCAGGGAAACTGTTAGCTACACCAGTAAGATATCTTCTGTAAGTTTTAAAAGACTACAAATCCCTCTGTTTATGCCTTCTGCAGGCCTAGACCTGTTGGAAAATTACTTTCAGCTTACTTTGCTCCCCAGCACATTCTCAAGCAACCCCTAAATCCGAATGAAAGTAAGTACATGGGAGCTGTTCAGATTTGTTAGCAAAAATAAAGCTGCTTTATTTATTAAAAAACCAGCGAAGATCAAAAGCAGTCAGTGGCAAAACAAGGTTCAAAAAGCAAGCAGGCAGAGTGAAAAACATGAACAAAAGACAAGAATTTACATTATCTATATACAGGTAGTGCTTGACTTATGACAGTCATGGAACTCAGAATTTTTGTTGTAAGTCCTGATAATTGTAAGTCAAGGCAGTCATGTGACCGATCCAATTTTACTACTTTTTGTGGTGGTCATTAAGTGAATAAATTCTTGCCTCTGAGCATTTTTAGCCAGAAACTGGCCAAAAAGCCCAGTTTGTGGCAGCAGTACAATATAAATCATGTCACGTGATTGCAAAATACTGCAACCAGCCAATTACAACATAAGACTCACTTTGTTATAATCAAATCTTTAATAAACACCAAACCCATACACATAACATCATTTCAGTTTTTGCTGTTTTGCACAAAAAGTCCAAAAGGGGCTCCAAGTTAGTATTAAAGTTGTTCAACATCTTTTCTCTAATCGGGGTTGTCAAGTTTTGCCCTCTCAATCAACTCCTTTACCAGTCAATTTTCCACTGTAGATATTATCAAGTCTTTCTATCTTGGGGGTATATAGATGCCTCCCTGCTGTTATCATATACACGAATAAAATACCCTGCGATTTTTCAAAATTTTTGTCTATTGGCCTCAACAGAAATGTCTCTGGTCTTGGATGTATAGTAACCTTCAAAATTGTATGAATTAATATATGTACAGTATGTGTTTGTGTGTGTGTGTACATTCATACAATCACACACACAAACACACACAGGGCGGTTGGACTAGAACACCTCCAAGTTCCAATATCATTCTGTGTGTGTGTGTGTGTGTGTGTGTGTGTACTCATCTATCTAATCCAGTGTTTCTCAACCTTGACAATTTTAAGGCACGTGGACTTCAATTCCCAGAATTCCACAGCCAGCAATGCTTAAAATTGTCAAGGTTGAGAAACACTGACTAATCTATCTATCATCTATCTATCTATCTATCTATCTATCTATCTATCTATCTATCTATCTATCTATCTATCATCTATCTTATCATCTATCTATCTATCATCTATCTATATCTATCTATCATCTATCTATCTATCTATCATCTATCTTATCATCTATCTATATCTATCTATCATCTATCTATCTATCTATCTATCTATCTATCTATCTATCTATCTATCTATCTATCTATCTATCTATCTATCCTGTTCATTTATCTAACTCCAAGCATGTCCTGATTCCTGTTCATAGGCTTTTTAGCAATAAACCAATCTAATTGGACCTTGACCTATGGACCTGGTCTCCCCTGGAGAGGAGGCAAGGAGATCTTGGTAACCTGAACTTCCCGCTGACGACCTCTGCATACTCTGGCTATGTGCCCTTGCTTTCCACAGGCATGGCATACTGCTGTGCGGAATCTGCACTCGGCTCTTTCATGCTGTCCCCCACAGCTTGCGCAGCTCTGTGGGGAAGTTGCTTGCTTTGTAGAGTGTGGCCGTCTGGGTGGCTCTCTCCGCAAACGATCGATTTCTTTGCTCTCACTGGCCTCCCCCGAGCCTTCGGCGGTCTCTTGGTGGATCGCTGTGGGGCTGGTGTGTGTTTTAGGTGGCCAGAGAATCTTCACTGCCCTTCTGGCAGCCTCATCCGCCATGACTTCCTTCAATGCGTCCTGGAAGGTCAATTTCTCCCTGGCGAATAAGCGCTGCTGTAATTCTCTATTATGCAGGCCACAAACGAGCCTGTCTCTGAGACGGTCTTCCAGGTCAGGGAACTTGCATTGACGCAAAGCTTGGCGAAGGGCTGCCACAAACTCTGCTGTAGATTCCCCAGATCTCTGCTCACGTCGCTGGAATGCATGGCGCCGGGCGATGACTGAGAGTTTAGGTTCAAAATATTCAAAATGTTCCCTTAATTTTTCCTTGAGGTCTGCGTAGGCCACAGTCTCTATACTTGCCGGTGCAGTCAGGTTTTCCGCGATATCAAACGTGGCTTGTCCAGACACGTAGTAAGGTTGCCGCCTTCAGGCCATCGTCTGTGATCTGGTTAGCCTGGAGATAGTTGTCTACTCGGGAGACGTATGAGCTCCACTATTCCGGATGAGTAATATCAAACTCGTCGAGTCTTCCCACATTAGCCATTCTGGGGAGGCTCCTGTGGTGCTGGTTAATGCCTGTACTGCTGCGATTGGAGCTGTGCTACACTTAGGAGTCCCGGGGACAGATCTCTATGTCTGTGCCTCCAGTGTGTCTTACTGCAGGCAGGATGGGGAGTGTGATCCCACCAGGGCTCCTTATCTGGTCTGACATCCAGTGATTTTAGTCTTGTTTAGCAGCAGCTCTCTCCTCTGCAACTATCCCACCTCTGTCGCCACTATTGTGTAGTGGGCTTCATTAGACAAGGAGCAGACCAGCAGAGTTACTACATTATTTATTGACTCAAACTGGAACTGGAGAACTGCAGGCACTTTCCTGTAATTTGCACTCTGACCCCACAGGGCCTTAACCAATCACAAAATTTGTAAAGCCCGCCCCGAATATAAATGTTCAAAGTTTCCCTCCAAAACAGTTGGCGTTAACTGGCTGAGGAATTCTGGGAGTTGAAGTCCACAAGTCTTAAAGTTGCCAAGGTTGAGAACTCCTGAATGGTTAGCTTCACTTTACAGGGCCTTAACACTGCTTTATATATTTCAATACATAACAGGATGCATTGGTCAAATCCAGCAACGCCACGTTGATGACTGCATGTTCTAAACTACAAAAGTTTCGTTTTAAAAAGAGAGCTGAAAATGCTGCTGCTGCTGTGGTTTAGAAGAGATGAAATGATGTCTGCAATATTTTCCAAAGCCACAGATAACATTGCAAAACGTAGCAACAGAAACAACAGCAACAGTCATAAAAGGGAGGGAGGCAGGAGAAAAAGGCAACAAAATATGGAACGCTTCACGAATTTGCGTGTCATCCTTGCGCAGGGGCCATGCTAATCTTCTCTGTATCGTTCCAATTTTAGTATATGTGCTGCCGAAGCGAGCACAAACTAACCATCCTCTTGAAAGCTATATAAAGCTCATGATTGCGTAATATTGTAAGATATGATGAGCACAAATGTAATTTTTCTTTTAAAAAATCTGGTTTGTACTAATCAAAAACAAGCTGTGCTCTCTCTACAGCTTGAAATTTTGAATATATATTTTATAAAATTCAGAACAAACTGTATTTCCAAGGAGGATGAAAGGCAAGGTCGGGTTATGGAAATCAAGGGGCGTAACTCCGGAATTGGGTGGGAAAATATGAGGACAAAGAGGTAAGTAAAAATGTCAAGCGTTTCCGGAATCTAACATCTGTGGTTTGGGATCGTCGCAGGCCAAATCCTCCATGTGAGGTTCAAAGGGGGTAAGAACAAAACGTAAAATGTGAAATCAAGGAGGCAACAATTGTGAAGGCACCTTGTTCTATAACCCAGTGAAGGGTGACTACTTCACAGTAGTAATTTGCGTAAATGAAGATTTCCACGATGCAATAATATTGCTGCCAAGATCAACAGTTTTGATTTTTCCTTAGACAAAAACCCTCCTAATTATATATGATACTAATTGAGAAGGTGGAAACTCGATAAATAGAGTTCCATCAGCATGGATAAGTTAAAGAAGGGAAGATAAAAAGGAAACTTTTAAAACTTTTTTTCCTACTTGCCAATCCAGGTATTGGCTTGCGGCTGCAGGGTGCTTTTTGGGATTTTTTTTTTTAAAAAAAACTATTTGTCAATCAGATACCGGAAGTGGTTCTTAAATCTTCTTAACCGTACCCCTTTGGAGCCCGCTGCTTGCGCTCCCCTTTCCGAGCTCCTCTAGTTCCCCCTTTTCTTTCCCAGGATGCTTTTCGCCTCGCTCGGAGTTCCTCCGCCCTGCCTGCTCCCGGCTGACGTCATCGGTGCTGCGGGGCGGGAGGGGGGGGAAGGAAAGGGGAAGCGAGCTATCAACATGGCGGTGGCCCGGACGGACGCGAAGGTGGACTGAGAGGCGGAGGCCAGAGGACGCGGCCCAGCTTTTCTTTCTCTCCCCAACGGCCCCTTTTTGCTTTGGGGGGGGCGCTGCTTCCCCTCCTCCTGACCGGGCCCGTCTGAAGGGCTGGGTGAGGGCTCTCCCTCTCCTCCTCCTCCTCCTCTTCTTCCCTCCTTCGAGGCTGTTCTTCCCTTGCTGGGGGCGGGAGGGGGGAAATATCCCTCTCAATAACGGGTCACCCCCACTTCCTCCCTTACCCTGAAGTTTGGTGGGCTGGCCTTCTCCCCCCCCACTTCCATCCTCTCCGATTCTTCTGACGACCCTTTTTCTTCCCCAAATTAAGCGCCTCGGTTTTGAAGCTTGCCCCCCCCCTTCCCCTTTCCCGAGAAGATTGCAAAGCGCTCTTCTTTGCCTTCTCCCCCCTCCAAGAAAAATTGGGTCTTCAGAGCATCTCCCCCTTGTTTACCTTTCCCCCCTCCTGCCTCAGATTCCTCTGTTAGAAATTGGTGGGGTTCACCAATTCCCCCCGTTTAAATAAAGAGACCATAGAAGTTTCGCAGGCTCCCCCCCCCGCCCCCAATGTCATCCCCCGAGAACGGTCTGTCCCCTTTCTCTAATTTGTCCTGGCAAAGTTCCTCTTTCTGCCCAACGTAATTCCTATTCCCCCCCCTCCCCTTGTGATTTGACAGCCTCCTTCCCTATCTTGCCGAATCCCTCTTCTGCCAATTGAATAGTCGTGTCCACAATCCCATCTTTGGACTTTTGGGGTTCTGGCATCCCTGATCTGTTTAACCTTGAATCTCTTACTTTCCCCCATTTTGACTGATAACACCTTGGTCCCCTGGGAGAGGCAAATCTGCTGCCAGTTTTTCCTGGCTTCTCCTCATGCTATTTGTCTTCCCTAACTAACTCTGAAGCACTTTTAGGTCCTCTTTGAGGGTTGCCTTCCTACCATCAAGAACTCTTATAGGGGGTTTGATCAGTTCGCCCATCTGTTCACCTCTTGCTGAGCTACTAACCCTTTCTTAGTTGTTTCCAAATTAGTGCATCTTTCATGTCAATCCATTTAAGGACCATTTGTCTTCTAATTCAGACTATGGGCTACTTTGTTGTGGGATAGCTATTTTCTGGGTTTTTTTCTCCCCCTGTACCAGTTTGGGAGGTGAATTTATTGCTTAAGTGCTTTCTCCGATCAGCAGACTTGCTTAGTACCTTGAAATTAAATTTATATGTGGGAAACTGGAGTCAAACTCTTCTAAGAGAAGACTGCAAGAGAAGCCTTTGAAAGCATTCCTATCAACCCTCTGCACCTTCGCCAACTCAGGATGTCAGAGAACCAGCCCAACAACACCCATCATCCAATGAACAATAATGGGGTGGGTGGGGCCCCCGCTGGCAATAACCGAGGGGTCCGCAATCTCAACCAGAACCCTCTCATCAATGTTCGGGATCGCCTCTTCCATGCCCTTTTCTTCAAAATGGCTGTCACTTACGCTCGCCTCTTCCCATCATCTTTCCGTCGCATCTTTGAATTCTTCATACTCCTTAAGGTAATGGTGTAGGGGTAGAGGGAGACACATTTCCCTTTTTTCTCTATATTTTCATATTGGTTTGGAATAGAGTTAGTAATGTTTGAATGCTCACCAAAGCTTATGAAAAAAAAGTTTTAGCCTTTACAGATTTGAGGTGGGGGGTGGGACATTTTTTCCCCTTGGAGAGTATTTTATTGGCTCTTGATAGATTATTCTCTCCATGCCACCTCTTCCACAGGCCTCCTGCACATACATCTATTCAGATTTATAAAACTTCCCAGTGCTTAACTTTGATTTCTTGTGCTAGGTGTTATCCAGACTATCCTGTAATCTTTTTAAGAACCATGGGGATGAATTCATTTTATTCAAGCTTTAAAAATTGTCTTTTATTCATTTATACTTCATATTTCTCAACCATCAATCTCTCTCAGTTTTGCTCTGCATGCAGTACATGTTCTGTACTGTATCATTTTATATATGTTTTTGTGTGTGTATATATATTTATTACATAGTGTATCCTCTGTTTTTTTAGCTATCATGTTTTTCTGTTACTTTTGTACCCCCAAAAGTATGGCACTATTATCTTCATTTAACAAATGGGAAAGAAAAAGCTAAGGCTGAAAGGAAAATGGTTTGTCTAGAGCAGTACCTGAGAAGTTTGTGAGGAATAAAGTGTAACTTCCCGTGATGTTTCTATTATAATATTTCCTAAATTCATGCTAGTCTTTTTTCTAATTACACTCCACTGTGGGCCCCTCTTCAGCCTCTGATCAGCTACCATTTCAAAACTCTCTTTATATCTAATGCAATCACGCCATGTACTTACCATTGTATATGTATGCTTATATATGTATGTATGTGTGTGTGTGTGTGTGTTTGTATGTATGTATGTATGTTATACATATCAATTATAAATAGAACCATATATGCCTTTGTGGAATATGTTTAGTCCAGTTTTAGTTCTTTTGCTCGGAGGTGTTAGCAGTTAGAAATGCACCAAACTCAGTATCAACTTTGGTAAAGATTGGCTTCACTTTTATATCCAGATTGTTGATAAAATTGCAGGAAAATACCAGGCTAAAAGAACTTCTTTAAGGTTCTACTAGTTCTTCAGTTCTCTGCCTTAATTTTACTATAACCTAATTAGTAAAAATTTCCCTGTCAGTCATATCCAACTTTAGGGCACTGTGCTCATCTCCGTTTCTTGGCCAAGGGAGCCAGCGTTGTCCGAAGACAATTTCCAGGGTTATGTGACCAGTGTGGCTATAAGCCATGGAACCCTGTTACCTTCCCACTGAAGTGGTGCCTATTTATCTACTCGCATTTCCATGCTTTCGAACTGCGAGGTGGGCAAGAGCTGGGGCAAGTAACAGGAGTTCACCCCTTTGTACGGTACTTGGGTCTCAAACCCGAGCTACCAGCTCTCCAGCTGACTAGCTCAGTGTCTTTAAAATTAGTAGGGCTGTGTGTTTTCTTGCTGTGGCATTTACAGCTCTGTAATTTAAAGCCCTTTGTTCCTGAGGATCATAAAATGTTTTGGAGATGTTTTGCTGTCTTCTTTGAATTGGAGAGCCTCATTCATTTGCAGTTTGAAGGCAGTGGTATTGGTCTGCCACAGGGGACCATTGTAAGGATTATAACAAGCTAACACGATATGTTTAGAACTCCCAGAAGAGCAAGAAGGAGATAATTTCCGTGGGTTAGTTTTAAAAAGCTCCATAAAGTTACCAGGCTATAAAAATGGTTTATTACTCTCCCAGAAGGACACTAACCCATGTTTCCATAGTAAAGCAGGAAGAAAAATGCTTTTGGAAAACGGGCATGAGCAGGCTGATTGTTGTTGCTTTCTTTTGGTATCTTAAAGTTGCCTTCTCATAATCTGGCTCTGCCTAGCCATCTGGCAGTACTAGCTGACCTTGACTGATGTAGAAAGCAAAACAGGGGCAGCCCCTCTTGATATTTGGGTGCAGAACGGCTGGGAGGTCCAGGGCCAACAACTGGACCAGGTGGTAAAACAAAATCCCAGAAGGTGGCAAGGGCTGCTTTATGAGCTGTTGCCAAGGAAACTGCCTGATGTAAGTCACCAGAAATCAAGCTCAACTTGACTGAGATTTTACCTAATGATGCAGAATAGCGGAACGGAAACATATCATGGCAGCTGGCTTAATTTCTGGAGTACAGGTGGTCCTCGATTTACAACCTTTGTTTAGTGATGGTTCTTAACCTGGTGAACTCTAAAGCTTCCTCCTTCCATTAGGTATTCAAGTTGGACAGTGAATAATATTTAGATGTTACTTATATGTAAGGATGTAGGTCCATACATATGTTGTATATAGTATGGTTTAAATGTGTTATGTATGTGTACACTTTGAGAGCAAGTAACTAAATTTCATTTTCAATGTGTGCCATTGTTCCCACAGGAAAAAATGACAATAAAGGTCTGTCTGTTTGTCTGTACCATCCATCCATTATCTATCAAATCTAATCTAATCTAATTATCATCCATTATCTTATCTATCATCCATTATCTATTTATCTATATCTATTTATCTATATCTATCTATCTATCTATCTATCTATCTATCTATCTATCTATCTATCAGCCATTATCTATCTTATCTATCACCCATTATCTAATCTATCTATCTGTCTATCTATCTATCTATCAGCCATTATCTATGTTATCTATTATTTATCTATCTATCATCTATCATCCATTATCTAATCTAATTATCTGTCTATCCATCCATTATCTATCTATCTATCTATCTATCTATCTATCTATCTATCTATCTATCTATCTATCTATCTATCAGCCATTACCTATCTATCTATCTTAGGACCATTTTTCACATTTAATGACATGTAGCAGCATCCCTTTGGTCATGTGAACAAAATTCGGACATTTGGCAACTGGCATGTATCTTATGATGGTTGCCATGTCCTGGCCTCAGGTGTTTGTGACCTTCTGACAAGCAAAGTCAATGGGGGAAGCCAGATTCTCTTAACTGCCATGCTACTCACTGTTAGCAACTTTCATCGATTCACTTAACAACTGTGGCAAGAAAGGTCGTAAAATGGGGCAAAACTGACTGAACAACTATCTTGCTAAGCAATTCTTAGAATGCTTAGCAGGGTCAATTGTGGCCATAAGTTGAGGAGTACCTGGAATTACAAAGGAAGAAATCCTCTCTACCCTTTTGCTCAGAAATGAAGTGGGCTGGGTGGGAAGGAGGGGAGGATGCCGTCTTCCTTCTAGAAACTGGTTCAGAATGGAAAACCTTTGAAAGAACTTCAGTCCGTGCGAAAAGGCAATTATGGATGGAGGGTGCATGGAGCCAGAACCAAAACTGAACCAAGTTTTAACTATTTTATATTCCCCCCCCCCATTTATTTTATATTTTATTGTGTTATTATTTATTTATAATTTTGGTGCAGTGGTTGAGACGCTAGGCTAGAAGCCAGGAGACTCTGGGTTCTAGTCTCAGCTTAGGCTTGACAGCTGGCTGGGTGACTTTGGGCCAGCCATTCTCTCCCTCACCTCACGTAAGAGGAAGGAGCTTACCACCTTGAGTTATTTATAAAAACAATAAAGGTGGGGTATAAATAAATAAAAATATGACACACGGTGTGTAATCAGGTTCCTTTATAGCACTGATGGCGAACCTTTTAGAGACTGAGTGCCCAAACTGCAACCTAAAACCCACTTATGCACGTCGGGTGCTGGGTGGGTATGGCCCATTGGCTGGGTGTGGCCAATTGGGGTGTGTGTGGCCCATTGGCTGGGCGTGGCTGCGGTGGTAACGGCAGACTGGGTGGGACTAAAAAGTTCAGTCAATCAATTTCAACTTTGCAAGATCTTTTTTTTTCCCGTGAGAAGTTGAAATTGACTGATTGATTGAGCCTTTTTTGGGGGGGGGGGCGCATGGCAGCGGAGGCCTAAAGCGAAAAGGTTTTATAAAACCCAGTTGAAGGCCTAGGATGGGGCAATGGCACGCGTGCCCACAGAGAGGGCTCTGAGTGCCGCCTCTGGCACCCGTGCCATAGGTTCGCCATCAGTGCTTTATAGAATGGAAGCTTGATGGAGCGTTCATATTTATCTTGGAGAGGCTTGGGAGATGGGGAGGCTGCACTGTTGTAATTTGTTATTCTCTGTCTCTCAGGCTCTCTTTGTCCTCTTCATTCTGGCATACATTCACATCACCTTCTCCCGTTCCCCCATCAACTGCCTGGAACACGTCCGAGATAAATGGCCACGGGACGGCATCCTACGAGTTGAGATCCAGCGCAATTCTAGCCGTAACCCCGTTTTTCTCCAGTTCTGCGAGAGTGAGAGGTTTCCAGGCATGGTGGTTGAGCCTGCTGTTGGGGAAGAGGAGGAGGAGGAGGAGGAAGAAGAAATGACCGTGGAGATGTTTGAGAATAGCTCCATCAAGGTACTGTGAAGGAGAAGAATGAGTTGTTTTGTTAATGATGATCCTTTTTCCCATACACCAGGGGTAGGCAACCTTGGCTCTTTTATGACTCGTGGACTTCAACTCCCAGAATTCCTGAGCCAGCATGGCTCAGCTTGGAAACCTCCCTTTTTCCTCAGCATGGCTGGCTCAGGAATTCTGGGAGTTGAAGTCCACGAGTCATAAAAGAGCCAAGGTTGCCTACCCCTGCCATACACCTTCCCGAACTGAGAATATGTTCATTGTTACCACCAAATGATTATCCTTTGGCCTGCTCTAATATGGCTAGTATTAAGTGCGAGAGAAAATTCTTTCCACACGGCTTTCTTTAAATAGTTAAATTCTTTGCCACCTATATGCCCCTTACGTGTTTTTGTCTCTGCTGAAAAAAAACCCCAAATTGTGAATTTCAATGAGAGGGGAGATACTTCAGCACCTGGTTCGTTTGGGTTGCTCTTCATTTCCTTTTTAAACTCTGTAATATTTCTTTGTAAGATGAGGCTTGCTGGCAATTTAAAGCTATACTTATTTAGATAAGAACATTCCTGTGGTTTAGTATCTATGGAGATTCTCAGTCATCCAGCTCACAATTGTCCCAAAGGTACTGTTTTTTGAGGAGGAAGAAGAAATTATTTTGCTTCTAATCTAAGAAGCTTCATCCTTTGAAATTCCTGTGGATAATTGATCCCAAGGAAAAAAAATTGGAAAATGCCCTGAGAACACTTTATGGGATACCATATAAACAAGAGAAATAGTAATAATGATAATGATAATGATGATGTAGTTGGAAGGGACCTTGGAGGTCATCTAGTCCAACCCCCTGCTCAGACAGGAAACCTTGTACCATTTCGGACAAATGGCTGTCCAGTCTCTTCTTAAAAACTTCCAGTGTTGGAGTATTCACCGCTTCTGGAGGCAGGTTGTTCCACTGGTTAATTGTTCTAACTGTCAGGAAAATTTTCCTTAGTTCTAGGTTGCTTCTCTCCTTGATTTAGTTTCCATCCGTTGCTTCTTGTCCTGCCTTCAGGCGCTTTGGAGAATAGCTTGACTCCCTCTTACTACTACTATTTTACATCGCTTTCTGGGCAGCCAGTCAACTCTTTGCACCATGACTTTAATTTTATTACGTTTTACAAGCTCACTCAACGAAAGAATACAAAGAACCCCAACCAACTGGATAGCGATCACATCGCACACTGACAAATGTCCTCCTCTCCGCTTGACATCAATAACTGAATCCTACTGTGATCTGATTGGCTCATTGCCAAAACAAGATGACACCCGATTGGCTCTCTTAAACACTCATGCTCATTGGCTACAGTCAGATGAAGGAAAGCTACCTGATATCAACCTAAGCAAGTTGTGCTTCCTTTTTCTGGTTATTTGGCTATAACTTTTCATAGAACGCAGTACAGATAGTTGAACAAACTATGTTGCATTGCATTCTTGATTAAATTATCTTTTCATTGATATATAATTTTATGTTACTACTCCAAAAAAAAGTACTGTTATTAGCCATCAAACCTCAAGAATACACTTTTCTCAAAAGGTTTCCACAATTTTGGCCACTAGTGTATATAGAGTACTGTAAAATCAGTCATATAATACATTTTTTTTAAAAAAAAAAGTTCCCTCCCCCTCAAACAGTGGAAGAAATAACGACCATTAAAAGGCAAAAGAGACATCATGTAGGAGCTGCCACCCGTTCTAACCCAAGGACAGGATTTCAGAGCATAGGAATCTGGCCAGGGTGGAGACCAGCCATCCGAGGGATGGTGTTCAAGTGGGCAGGTACTGCGACTAGACTCCAGCATGTGACATTGCTTAATTGATTCAGCCTTGGGGGTCACAAGGCAAACAAGGAATTCCTACACATACCAGCCCTGTGATAACTTGTCTTTCTCTGAGCTCTGTTCTTGTCAGCAACTTCTCTTGGTTTATCATTTGTATTTCTAGTTTGATTTTCAGAGCTTTAACCAAGATTTTTTGTATACATGGTAGAAAGTCCTTATCTAGATCAAGGGTCTTCAAACTTGGTCAACTCCCAGAATTCCTCAGCCAGCAGTCCACAAGTCATAAAAGGGCCAAGTTTGAAGACCCCTGACCTAAGTCATTCTCTTTGTTTAGCATTTGTTTTTCTACTTTAACTGTTTTCTCTGCCTTATAATACATACTTTTTAAAAATTACCCAGTATTTCTGGTTCTGGTATTAATACATTAAGCAATTTTTTTTTTCTCTCACGTTTTATAATTTCTTTGCTAACGTCTTTTGGGGGTAGTCTATTCATAGACGCAGATCATTGCTGATGTAGCTGTTAATTTCTGAGCCCATTCTTTAAAAATCCCCTCAGATATTTTAAATGTCATAGCACTTTGTGTCATTTCACAAATTCCAGTGCTAACAGAAAGCAATATGCAAGGTTTCACTCCCCCCCCCTTTTCTTTTGCGGCCTGAAATCTTCAGTTCCCTCAGGTGTGCAATTTCTGTAATCATAAAGTCTCAAATCTCTTTTATTACTCAGGATAGAAAAAGCAGTTTGGTTCCTACACGTTTATTTACTTATTATTTGTAAAATTTACTAGCCGCCCCTCTTACCTCAGGATTACTCCAGGCAGCTTACAGTCATAAAAGATAAAGGCAAAGCTAACAGACATAAATAAAATAAAATACTACAGAAAGCCAAAGTTAAAAGGCTGTTTATTTATATCATTGTTTCCAAAACCTATTATTAATGTCTTAAAGTTTTACATCAGTGTTTCTCAACCTTGACAATTTTAAGGCATGTGGACTTCAACTCCCAGAATTCCACAGCCAGCATTGCTGGCTGTGGAATTCTGGGAGTTGAAGTCTACATGCCTTAAAATTGTCAAGGTTGAGAAACACTGTTTTACATTTATCTGGACCCTTAATTCATTTCTGGAATCAAAGTCTTATTTCATTTTCCCCAGATATTCCACTTCTTTAAACACTTGAGCTTTTAGTTAGGGTTAGGGTTTTCTTTTGTTCAAGAATGGAAGCTCTAGCACAGGGGTCTTCAAACGCCCTTTTATGACTTGTGGACTTCAACTCCCAGAATTCCTCAGCCAGGCATGTTGGCTGAGGAATTCTGGGAGCTGAAGTCCACAAGTCATAAAAGAGCCAAGTTTGAAGACCCCTGCTCTAGCACCACATAGCTTTTCTAACTCGCTGGCTCTGAAGATCTCTAATAACCCTAAAATGTTAAATAGTCAATTTCTGAAAGTGATTTCAAAATGAGTAAACCTGATGTCCTTTAAAAGGCTCTATCACAGCTGTGAGCTGTTGTGGGTTTCTTTCTTCTTCTGGAGCTCAAACCTATGGGAAATCGCCATCTTGAGGTCCACTTGCGAAGGATAGCCATCCAAACCACAGGAGAGAATAGAATAGAGTAGAGCTGGAAGGAACCTTGGAGGTCTTCTAGTCCAGCCCCCTGCTCAAGCCATCTCAAACAAGTGAATATCCAGTCTCTTCTTAAAAATCTCCAGTGATGGAACGCCCACAATTTCTAGGGGTAAGCTGTTCCACTGGTTGCTTGTCCTCGCTGTCAGGAAGTTTCTCCTTAATTCCAGGTTGTTTCTCTCTCTGATCAGTTTCCAACCATTGTTTCTTGTCCTTCCCTCTGGTGCTCTGGTGAATAATCTGGCCCCCTCTGCCCTGTGGCAGCCCCTCAGATATTGGAACACTGCTATCATGTCTCCCCTATTTCTTCTTTTCTTTAAACTAGCCAAAACCAAGTCCCGTAGCCGTTCTTTGTATGTTTTAGTCTCCCGGCCTTTGATCATCTTAGTTGGTCTTCTCTGAATTTTTTCCAAACTCTCAACATCTTTATTGTGATAAAGTGACCAAAACTGGCTGCAGTATTCCAGGTGTGGTCTTATTAGGGTTTTATAAAGCGGTACTAATACTTCGCGTGAGCTTGGTTCTATGACCTCTGTTTATACAACCCAGGATTGTATTAGCCTTTTTGGTTGCTGCTGCACACTGCTGGCTCATAGTCAAGTGAGCGTCCACTAGGACTCCAAGGTCCCTCTCACAGTTACTGTTTTTAAGCCATGTCTCACCTGGCTTAAAAGTAACTTCCCATCCTCTCCTTATCTGGAGAGGTTTTGTAGAACCAGTCTACTTGCCATGGTCATTATCTCTGACCATTTGGAGACCTGCTAGTTTACCATGCTCTCCCCGAAGTTAAAGACTTTGTGATGTCTTTAACACTCGCCATTTCCTGCAGCTAATTTGGGTTTGCAAGCACAAATCTAAATCTTCTTGTGGGAAGATGGTTGATAATATGATCTCCTTCTACCCATAAAATACAAAAAAGCTGCAGAACACGCTGAGAACAATAGAAGGTTAGCTTAAAAGGGGCGTATATGCAGTATTTCTGCTCTGTGGGTACCTCTAATTGCTTTGGCAATCCCTATTTAAACTAGGAACCAGAGGATTTGCTGAATTAAGCTAAATCTCAGAAGCAGGTTTAAACTGGGTAATGAATTAAGCAGGGGAAGGAATATGTGCAAATTCTCTTTAATTTACATAATTGGGGTGCACATTAACTTAAAGCTTCAAGACACGTATTACATAGATGCTTTCATCGGGTGAGATTTGGGGAGCAAGAGGAACGCCTTTATAATGCACACCTCTGATTTAGATGATACTTGCATGGAGAATTGATTTGCTCCTTGTTTGTTTGGCACCTCGTTGATTTATAGGGTGAGGAAAACGTCAGAGTCCACTTTTCCTGTTTTTGATTATGTATCGATGCAGGACAACACACTCACCCCCCACCACCCACCTACCCCCATTATGCTACGTTAATGCTTCAGACTCTTACTGTGTTCTGGTACTGAAAGGCATAACTCCACCTCTGGGTAATCAGAATCATATACATTTAATTATTCAATTTTTTTATGGTTGGTCACATAATCAGCTAGTTGTTTAGATTGGATTTGACATTTTTATCTACCTATTGAGTCTTTTCCAGGGACTTGGAATAGACAGATGTTGTTTGTTGGTGTTATTATTTACGTTGTTGGTGCTTAACTGATCTCTTTTTTTCCTTTGTCTCCATACTTGTAGTTCACTTAAAGTTGCTTATATCTGTACCTGCTACTTGTAGTTTGTGACCTATAGTTACCTGTCTGTTTTTCATTGTGGTTGTTGTCTTCCTTCTTCTGGCTTGTTGCAAGATCTCATCTGATCTCATCATGTGTGAGGAAAAAGTACATCAAGGGTTGGTTTGAGCCTAATAAGGGCTTGTCTTGTATGGCAAAAACCTACCTCTGAATGGAAAGCCTCCTTTGGGAGGAATTTACTGATTGAACTCAATTTACTTTTTAATTTCATTTCCTTTTCTTCACGTAATTCCAATATATTCCTTCTGATAAGACTGGAGAGAAGAGATTGAAAAACCAATGTATTACCATTACTGTTTCAATTTCCAACGCTAAAGGACAACCTGCAATATGATCAAAATGGTAGATTTGTCCTCTGTGTTATCTTTCCCCTTTTCTGCATGAAGAATAGTTTACATCAGAGGTCCCCAACCTTTTGGGCACCAGGGATCAGTTCCATGGAAAAAGGTTATTCCGCGGACTGGAGAATGCGTGGTTTTGTGTGCTGCCTGCATCTCACATATGAGGCTTTGCTTGTTTGTGCGGATCGATTCCTGGCATGCTGCGGCCCGGTACTGGTGCACGAACCAGGGGTTGGGGACGCCTGGTTTACATGGTGTTTGCATTTTGCATTTTATAGTAGTACCTCGGTACTCATCATTAGTTGGTTCCTGGAGGCGCAATGAGTACCAAAAACAGTGAGTACCAAACAAATTTTTCGCTTAAGGAATAATGTAGTGCAGAGGTCTCCAACCTATCTGGGTTCGTGGCCCGGAGGGGAGAGGAGCAGCTTCCAAATTGGTGCGCGCGCGTGCATGCAAACAGGCCCGCGTGCACTGGCGTGGCACTAGCAGCCCCATTCACGCATGCAAAAATGGGCCGTGCACACCCACCCGGTGCTGGTGGCCAAGTTCGCACCTGCATGCAGGCGCAAATGGTGCCGCAGGCAGTAATGCGATAATGGGTTGCGGCCCATTGTTGGGAACCCCTGATGTAGTGAGTCACAAGGCAGTTGACACCAACAAGTTCTAGCTTGTGTGTTGAACACCAAACAAACAATGAGTACTGGGGCAAAATTTTCATGTCAAAATGCATTGAGCACCAACTTCAATGACTTTCAAAGCAGTTGAGTACCAAGGTACCACTGTACAGGTAGTCCTTGATCTACAACAATTCATTTAGTGACCAAAGTTATAGTGGCACTGAAAAAAGTTACTTATGATTATTTTTCACACTTACAACAGTTGCAGCATCCCCATGGTCACGTGATCAGAATTCAGATGCTTGGCAAACTGACTCACGTTTATGACGGTTGCGCTGTCCCGGGGTCATGTGGTCCCCTTTTGCGACCGTCTGACGAGCAAAATCAACGGGGAAGCCAGATTCATTTAACAACCATATTACTAATTTAACAATTGCACTGATTCACTTAACAGCTATGGCAGGAAAAGTTGTAAAATGAGGCAAAATTCACTTAACAAACATCTCACTTAGCAACAAAAATTTTGGGCTCAATTGTGGTCGTAATTTGAGGACTACCTATATTTGATTTTACACTATTTTACTATGTTTTATAGGTAGTCCTTATTTAGCAATTGTTCGGTTTTGATGACTCCGTCATTAAGTAAAATGGTTGCTAAGTAAACATGTAAGAAAGAGACTGCAAAGATCACTGGCTGCTGCCATTTTCTTCAGATAAAGTTCTCTCAGACAGTGTCCTATGCCTGACCTCTTTTTCTTCTATTTTTGCCCCTAGACAGGACAGAAGGATTACTTAAACAATCTGTCTCTTCCTGGGCTTCTTATTTCTGCGACACAGCCCTTCCCTAAAATTCACAAATTCAGCTGGGCAAACTAACTTAGGTGATTAGAACTGTGCCAGCTAGTAGCTTCTGCCTGAAACTGACCAGACTCTAATCTGTTTCACACTGACATTGCAGTCAATACAGGCATTGGGTGGAAAAGGAATCTTTTATTGCCATTTATTACTGTCATATTTGCAGAGGGTCACTCTCTGTGTCAGTTGCTAAACGAGGACTACCAGTATAATATGCTGTCCAGAGATCAGTTGAGCCGTGATTGGTTAAAACATTTTAACAGGTCAATAAATTGGGGTTGGGGGCTGAGGAGTCGTTGCTTCCTCTGCTGTGCAAAACATCATCCATGGTCTTGTTCTTTGTGCCCTCCTTAATTCCTCCGTGTGCTTTTTTTCTCCCTTCATTGATAGTTTGATCTGGATATTGAACCCAAGATCTTCCACAAGGCAACTCGGCTGAGTAATGCCCACATTTTGTCCCCCAACGAAAGCCAAGAATTCTCCTTCGGCAGCGAGCCAGCCGCTAAAGGTATGCAGCTTCTCAGCGAGACTGTGTCCGAATTTGAGATGCTAGCCAAAGCAGGTAAAGCTACGTTGTTCTTACTTCCCGTCTTGTTCCACCATCACGTAGTTGTTGTTTTTTTTTTTCCCATTCTCCCCCTTGCTTCAGTCACTTTTTTCTTTTGGCATGAGTTTTTTCCATCCATCCATCCATCACTCACTCTATGCTCCTCCCCCCCCCCCCCAAAAAAACAGATTTTAACTTGACTTCTAAACTGGCACGTGGGCTAATTTCCTTGGGGGTGGACTTGCCAGAGAAAGCTCCTTGACTTGTGACTGCCTGTTGGATCTATATCAGGGGTGTCAAACTACCGGCCCGTGGGCCGGATGCGTCATGTGGAAGCTGCGCCCACCCCATTGCCGGCAATGGCAAAACCGGCCTGATACGTTGAGAGTTTGACATGCTTAATCTATATCATGCGGAACCTTTTTTCTGCTGCATTTGTTGATGGGGGGCACATATGGAAGGCGGAACAGTATTGCAACAGAGAAAATGGCATAGCTTTGGATAAGAAAGTAATATTTGGGGATCATTTGTGTCTGGGCTCCATTTATTAGTATCCTGAGAGCACTTATAGGTAGATTTCTTCGCCTCCCTTTATGCTGAACCATTCTTATTAGGCACCTCAAATAAGAATTTGACAGAGGAAATAAAATGCTGTGCCTCACATTGAATACCGTACAGGTAGTCCTCGACTTACAACAGTTCATTTAGTGACTGTTCAAAGTTACAACAGTGCTGACAAAAGTGTCTTATGATCACTTTTCACACTGACGACCATTGTAGCGTCCCCGTGGTCATGTCATTTACACTCGGAGGCTTGGCAACTGGCTCATATTTATGACGGTCGCAGTGTCCCGGGGTCACGTGATCTCCCTTTGCAGCCTTCTGGCAAGCAAAGTCAATGGGGAAGCAGTGATTCACTTAACAAATGTGGCAAGAAAAGTTGTAAAATGGGGCAAAACTCATTTAACCAGTTTCTCACTTAGTAATATAAATCCTGGGCTCAGTTGTGGTTGTCAGTCAAGGACTACCTGTATACAAGTTGCTGAAAGGGGATATTATTTTCCAGTACAGGCTTCTGAAATTCTCAAATGCTGTGGGTGACACAATGGATGCTTACAGCCTGGCCCACCAGGGCTATTCTTACATTTCACTCTTTTTGTTAAGAGCAGTCAAACCTGAAATCAGAAGTTTACAATCTTACCTGGTCTGAAAAGGGCTAGCTCATTGTGTCTGAAACTTACCTGAAATTGGCGGAGATCCCAGTTTGCATTTCTACTTAGTAGAAAAAGACAGAATCTTGGTTAGTTTTGCTCTGTCTTTCCCACCATCGGAGTGCCAAAAATACCGGGACTACAGCTCTCAACAAATTTGTCTGTTTGCCATACTGAGATCTTGTCCAGTATATCCATAGGGTGAGGATTTGGGAACGGTCAATAGTAATCTGAGCTTGCAGAAGGAACCTAACAGTGCAAAATTAGCTCATGTGCACCGTTTAGAGTAAAGTAGGATTCTTTAAAACAGGGGACTTAAACTTGGCCCTTTTATGACTTGTGGACTTCAACTCCCAGAATTCCTCAGTCAGGGCTGGCTGAGGAATTCTGGGAGTTAAAGTCCACAAGTCATAAAAGGGCCAAGTTTGAAGAGCCCTGCTTTAAAAGCTTGATTATCTGTTTGTTACGTTTATACCCCGCTATCCTGTTCAGAAAAAACATTGGGCTCACTTTTTCAAAAATGCACACCAAAGAAGCACAGAAATCAATCAATAAAATACAAAGAATTCAGTCTTTAAAAAACGTTGCCTGTCCATGCAACTGGAGTGTGCCTTTTTGACATCCCAATGCCAGCTCTTATTTTCAATATCATTTGAATAAACATTTCTAAACTGCATCTTTATTTCTTCTATCCTGGCCTTCTAAAACAATTCTTTTTGGCTGTATTTGTAGTGTGGCCGCAGGAAGAATACATTGTGGAATATTCCTTTGAGTACGGATTCCTCCGCTTATCCCAAAGCACCCGTCAGCACCTGAGCATTCCTGTCATGGTGGTGACTCTAGGTAAATTTCTATTTTACCATTCCATTCTTAACCATTGCTAAGCCTCCAGAAGTTATGGGTACTGCAACACGAGAGGTTTTTAAGAAGAGATTGGACCACCATTTGTCTGAAATGGTATAGGCCAGGGGTAGGCAACCTTGGCTCTTTTATGACTTGTGGACTTCAACTCCCAGAATTCCTGAGCCAGCAGGGCTCAACTTGGAAACCTCTCCCTTTCCCCTCAGCATGGCTGGCTCAGGAATTCTGGGAGTTGAAGTCCACCAGTCATAAAAGAGCCAAGGTTGCCTACCCCTGGTATAGGCAAGTGTTTCTCAACCGTGGCAACTTGAAGATGGGTGGAATTCAACTTCCTGAGTTCCCCAGCCAGTTTTGCTGCCAGCTTTGCTGGCTGGGGAATTCTGGGAGTTGAAGTCCATCCATCTTCAAATTGCCAAGATTGAGAAACCTTGGTAGATTTCCTGCCTGAGTAGGGGGCTGGACTAGAAGACCTCCAAGGTCCCTTCCAAACTCTGTTATTCTGTTAAGCAACTGGTAAGCTTGGAAACCAAGATGGACGGGTTATCAAACTAATAATCAGACTGTCACAGTATAATATTTTGTTTCAGGTTTTGTTTGACTATTGCTGCAGATATGTTCACAAGCAGTGCGAGTGAAAAGAAATGAAAATGAAATGTCTCAGTGGCAGGAGATTAATCTTTTAAAACAGAGGGGGGTTCTGCAGGAGGGCGAGTAGAAGATATTAGCTCCCCTAGCCTTAAGAATCATTTCTGTATTTTAGAACCAATGTTATTTTAGTTTAAACATTTGGCTTACTAATTTAGTTAATGCTCCTTGAATATCTGGGAACACAGCATTTGCAAATGATTGTTTGTTGCATTTCATTGCTCCCAAACTTACAGAGAAATTGTGAATTTCCATACAGTTAAAATAGCTGATGGATATTTGATCTCCTAAGAGGGAGCCCAAATTAAAAATAGGAATCCTGATTCTATGGCACAGGGGGCCCACCAGGCTGCTGAATGGAGAGGCCAGCATTTTCTTCTTTAGCCACGGGTTTCCTGAATGTGGTAGCCAAGAATGCTCCCCCCCACACACACACATACACCTCTGGTACCCACCAGTGTCCTTATCCTAGCGCAGGGGTAGGCAACTTTGGCTCTTTTATGACTCGTGGACTTCAACTCCCAGAATTCCTGAGCCAGCCATGCTGAGGGAAAAGGGAGAGGTTTCCAAGCTGAGCCATGCTGGCTCAGGAATTCTGGGAGTTGAAGTCCACAAGTCATAAAAGAGCCAAGGTTGCCTACCTCTGTCTTAGCCAATATTTTATCAAAATGTTCTTTTTTCCTTAAAGAAACAGAAAACTGACATGCTACTAAACAAAGCACCAGCCTCCAACATCACTTTTGGAATATCTCTAGGCCCCAAACAACCCTATAAATGTTCTTAGCAAATAAAAAATATGTTTTATTTTCTTTTGAAATGTATCCCCAATTATTCTCCTGGAATCCATAACTTTTAAAGTTCTCAGTGGGTCCACCAATCCAAAAAAACATTTGAGGCAACAGTTAGGATTAGTTAATTAATTAGTTAATCCTTGGGGTTAAATAGCAAAGGCAAACTTTGCTGCAGATTTTTAGTCCTAGAGCAGTGGTGGCGAACCTATGGCACGGGTGCCAGAGGTGGCACTTGGAGCCCTCTCTGTGGGCACACGTGCCATTGCCCCAGCCTTGCCTCCCCCTGCGACCCCCTCCTGTCCAGCAGCTCCCTGAAGGAGAGTCGCCCCCGAGCGTGGCCCACATGAAGCAGGGGCATGGCAGCCAGGCAGCGTAGACAAGACTCTGCTCTCACACCTCATCATGCAGTTGATGCTGCGGGGTGTGGCCAGAGGGCGTGGCGACCATGGTGCTGCTGGGCTGCCTGGGCGATCGGCGGGCCCTGGAGGCGGTGAGTGGCCCTGCGGGCAGGTGGGATGGGAGCGGGCAGGGGGTGGAGCGGGGGCGGGGCCAGTTTTTGGGCACTCGGTCTCTAAAAGTTTCGCCATCCCTGGCCTAGAGATTTCCCAAGGAAAGATGGGAAGATAAAATTCTTTCCAGTTTGTATGGATATCAAACTTTCTAGGACCCAGGGAAGAGTCAGTCATCAGACTTCCATTTTATTTCAGATGGGCTCAAAGTCTTACCCAGTTCCTTTGAAAACTATTTTTCCTGACATTCAGTTTCCATTTTGGATAAGCCTGGCCATTGCCCCCTCGTTCAGACTTAACTCTTTGAAACCAAACCTTTTTTCTCTAAGACCGAGACTCCCCTATGTCTTCCTTCATTCTTATTTATTTAATCATACAATAAGGATTATGATATTTTAAACATACATTTGTAGTGCCAGTTTCTGACTTGAAAATGTTGGGCAACACATTTCAGATAGTTTTAAGTCTGCAAATTGACCCCTCCCTCCCTTCCTGAAAGGTGGAGGCTTTTTCCTTCTTCCAGCCTTTTCTCCCAATTTTGGGAATTGTCGTCTACACATTTTAAAAAGTCGCTGTGGTTGAGGAACACTGTGTTAGACTTTTTGCATTTGGGTCTGTGTCTGTGTGTGTGTCTGTGTCTGTGTGTGTGTCTGTGTGTGTGTGTGAGAGAGAGAAATTCTGCCTGTCGGTCTTTTCTGCTATAATTTAACTTTGCCTTAATTCTTCTTACAGATCCCACACGGGACCAGTGCTTTGGAGACAGATTCAGCCGTCTTTTATTGGATGAATTCCTAGGATACGATGACATTCTCATGTCCAGTGTGAAAGCCTTGGCTGAAAATGAAGAGAATAAAGGTTCGCAAAATAGGCATGTGGGTTGAAGCAACAACAACAACAACAACAACAACAACAACAATAATAATAATAATAATAATAATAATAATAATAATAATAATAATAATAAAAGCTGGAAGGGACCTTGGAGGTCATCTAGTCCAACCCCCTGCTCAGGCAGGAAACCCTATACCATTTCAGACCAGCATGAGGACATACCTCTGTGATATGCTATATTGTTTTGGATTCCTGTGCTCTCTTGGCTGCTGCGTGTGTTGCAATGTTTTACATTATATTTTGTATTGTTTTCGCCTGCTATAAGCCGCCCTGAATCCCTCAGTAGATGGGCAGGTCTAGGAATTGAAGCAACAAGTTAAGCCATCTCCCAGAAAATAGAAATGGGCAACTGTTGGACATTGGGCTGTTTGAAGTGAGAGACGGTCTTGATCCAGTTACAGGTAGTCCTCAACTTACGACTGCTTGTTTAATGACAACAGCCCTGAAAAAAATGACTTACAACCGGTTCTTACATTTATGACCATCATAACATGGCCGTGGGATCAAAATTCAGGTGCTTGGCAATTTGGCATGTATTTATTTTTTATCTTTTATAATATTTTATTAATTTTCCAATTTTTACATTTGAATATTTAAAAAGCAACGTGGTGACTGGGTTAATCAGTAGTTCAAAAACAAAATCTTAGTGCAAATCTCAGCTTACAGCATCAAATATTTCTTCTCTTTTTCTCATATTCAGGTTAGTACATTTCTAATTATATCAACTCAAGAAGATCATTATTACACTTATCAATACATTTTTAGCTTCTACATAACTTAATTACATTCAATCTTCATAAACAATCCGTATCCTGTTATTGGTTTTTACTCAATTTTTGATTTCTTATCAATATTCCAATTCAACCTTTGATATTTCTAATTTTCAGACTTTGGGTAACCAAATACAATTTGGCATGTATTTACCAGCCAGCTTCCAGCAAGTGAACTCTATAGGGAAAACCAGATTCACGTAACAATCATTTGATTCCTGTAACAACTGCGGTGATTTGTTTAATGACCATGGCAAAAAAAAAAAAAAGATTGCAAAATTGGATATGACTCACTTAATATTGTCTTCCTTAGCAACGAAAATTCTGGTCACAATTGTAATCCTAAATCAGGGACTGCCTGTGTACAATATCACCGGGATGGCTGTGTATTTGTAGAACAATATCCCACTGCTTTAATTTGCAACATCTGTGGCTGAGCCCTTTTTTTCTTTCTTTATGACAATATCATAGAATTAGAAGGAGCCACTGAATCCAACTCCCTGCTCTGTATAGGAAATTGAATTAAAGCTGTAGTAATAGGTAGCTGAACAGCATTTGCTTAAGGATTATGAGTGTGATTATCTTCTTCCTATTTATAATTTACTCATTGTTTGCAGACATGAAAGCCTTAGCAATGCTTTCTGGAATGTTCTTCTGCTTGGGCCTCGGATGGGGATTTGTGCATATAAAATAATCTCGCTTAGATTATACTCTCTTGTATAGGGGACTGCTTTGAAGCCTGTTCAGACCTTTCCAGATAGAAGGGCAAAATTGCAACCTGGTTGGAAACTGGCCATTAGGAAAATTATATGGTTGCTGTGTCAGCCGCTTTGACTGGCAGCCTGTTTCTAGAAAAAAATGGAAACTTTGGGTGTTCATTTTAAAGCCTTGAAAGTTTGCCCCTTTGATATTGCTCTTTGGTGATTTTTGGAGGACCTCCAAACACCCCCCCCCCCAATAAAACGAAGGCTTTGGGCATCAGTAATGGAATAACATCTTTACACCCCAGTTTTTAAATTCCTAATCTCTGCAGCTGAAAAAAAAAATGGAAATCACAAGAGCCAAAATAGGTAGAACAAACTGCATGAATTATCTTTGTGGCTAGTAAATGAAATGTGAATGCAAAGTTAGCAAAATTAGACCTGGACCTGTGGAACATGCCCCAAGAGGTTTACCTGGCATTTGTTTAAGGCAGGGGTAAGCAACCTTGGCTCTTTTATGATTCGTGGACTTCAACTCCCAGAATTCCTGAGCCAGCATGGCTCAGCATGGAAACCTCTCCCTTTCCCCTCAGCATTGCTGGCTCAGGAATTCTGGGAGTTGAAGTCCACGAGTCATAAAAGAGCCAAGGTTGCCTACCCCTGCTTTTAGGCTGCCCCCCCCCCAAAAAAAAGTTGAGTGGCTTTTTGGGAGAATGATTGGTGGTTGACTGATGGGATTTTGAAGTACAGGTAGCCCTCAACTTACTACCACAATTGAGCCCAAAATTTCTGTTGCTAAATGAAACACTTGTTAAGTGAATTTTGCCCTGTTTTACAACCTTTCTTGCTCCAGTTGTTAAGTGAATCACTGCACTTGTTAAAGTAATGACAATGGTTGCTAAGTGAATCTGGCTTCCCCATTGACTTTGTTTGTCTGAAGGCAAAAGGGGACCATATGACCCCAGGACAGCGCAACCGTCATAAAGATGAATCAGTTGCCAAGCATTCGAATTTCGAACAGGGACCATGGAGATGCTGCAACGGTTGTAAGCCTGAAAAATGGTGATAGGTCCCTTTTTTTCAATGCCATTGTAACTTTGAACAGTCACTAAATGAACTGCTGTAAGTCGAGGACTACCTGTATGGTTTTTTTTTTTTCCTTTTGTTTATCATGCTGAAGAGCAACTGACTGTTTTGAGAGTGTGTCTCTTTGAGTCAGACTTGACTCCTGGTGAATACAGGACAAGGCCAGGCTGTTTTCTAGGAAGCATTTTTGATAGTGATTTGCCACTGTCTCCTGAGGGTTGAGAAGGAAGGAGTGGCCCAAGGTCACCCAGCTGGCTTCCAGGCCTCAGCAGGATTAGAACTGATACTCCTGACTCCTACACCAGCCTCTTTAACCATTAGACCAAACCAGCTCTTATGTTATTATTTTATTATTTTAATACATCTAAATATGTTGGTCACCACGATGTAAAAAAGATATTGAGATTCTAGAAAGAATACAGAGAAGAGCAGCAAAGATGATCAGGGGACTGGAGGCTAAAACATATAAGGAATAGTTGCTTGGAATTGGGTATGTCTATTTCAGGGGTAGGCAACCTTGGCTCTTTTATGACTCGTGGACTTCAACTCCCAGAATTCCTGAGCCAGCCATGCTGAGGGGAAAGAAGAGGTTTCTAAGCTGAGCCATGCTGGCTCAGGAATTCTGGGAGTTGAAGTCCACCAGTCATAAAAGAGCCAAGGTTGCCTACCCCTGGTCTAATTTAATGAAGAGAAGGACAAGGGGTGACGTGATAGCAGTGTTCCAGTATCTCAGGGGCTGCCCCAAAGAAGAGGGAGTCAAGCTATTCTCCAAAGCACCTGAAGGCAGGACAAGAAGCAACGGATGGAAACTGATCAAGAAGAGAAGCAACCTAGAACTTAAGGAGAAACTTCCTGACAATTAGAACAATTAACCAGTGGAACAACCTGCCTCCAGAAATGGTGAATGCTCCAACACTGGAAGTTTTTAAGAAGAGACTGGACAGCCATTTGTCTGAAATGGTATAGGGTTTCTTGCCTGAGCAGGGGTTGGACTAGATGATCTCCAAGGTCCCTTCCAACTTTATTATTACTATATATATATTTTTCAATAGAAGAGAATATATGTAGCCTAGGATTGAACTGTTGAGTTTGTGATGTTTCTGAGTTTGGTTGATTTCCTGCAGATGTTTCATTATCAGGCTAGGTAACATCATCAGTGCAAGGGAGAATGGATGATTGCTGATTGTCTATATAAGTTATCCTGCGCTCCTTCATTAGTTTCTTGATTAGGGTATTCATTCTTCCCTGATTATTCAGTCTGGTGCTATGTCCTGCTACTCTGCCCATTGGCTGCTGGGGAAAATGTACTCTAGGCAGTTTGTTTCCTTCCTAGATTTTTAGTCATTCTTTTTAAAGAGTCTCTATCAGATTATAGGGAAAGAGGCAATTGTGGTGCTGTGTGTATGTGTGTGGAGGGAGGAGATGGATGAATTTGTTTGAATATGCTGTATATATGTGTGCGTACATATTTGTGTGTATATTTGGAGACTGTATTCTGATAATAATATACAATATGTGGTGCACCATATTGTTGATTTGGGATTAGTGGGTGATGAGTAGAGGCATCCATGAATGGGAGGGTTAAAAAAGTATAGGGGGCAGCCACAACCTTATATGCAAAGCCAAGTGTGGGATGCATGTAAAAAAAGCCTTTTTTTTAACATCCCCCTCCTTGCACATACTTGGAGGATTTTATATTGGATTCTATAATTATAGGTAGTCCTCAACTTATAACCGTACGTCAGTCCCCAATTTTGCTTGTAAGTTGCGATGAATGTAAGGCAGGTTATCACGTGATTGTGTCTAATTTTGTGACCTTTCTTGCGGCAGTCATTAAATGAACAAAAATGCTTGTAAATCTAAATACCCAGTCATAAGTTGAGGACTACTGTTTTGTAAACTTCCCAGGATCTTGGAGAGTTTGTGGGTGCACATACACAAATGATATTAACATTCCTCTAAAATAGTACAGTAAATGTTTTGCATTCCATGGAGGCTTTATCACTTTGGGTCATAATTAGCTTGGCTGCAGAGTGGGCTGATCGCATGCAAATATCCCAGACACCTGTGAAAATGTTCTTAAGAGGGCCACTGTATCCAACTTGTAGAGCCGAGTTCCTCAACCTTTCTGGCTTTGTGGACCGGTGGGGGAGTGGGGGGGGGGAAGAGGGGAATCTTTCTGGCAAGTGAGCATATGTGCAGCCCCATTTGCATGAGCAGCGTGCATGCGCACCCGCCACTCACACAAATGGAGTGCCCATGCACGCGTTTGCCTGCTGCTCACGCATGTGGGGATGCACGCGCATGCATATGCTCGCACTCCGTTTCCGCGCCCCCAGTTGCAAACAGTTCACGGCCCAGAGGTTCGGGGGGACCCCTGTTGTAGAGCACTGTTGAATGATTGAATACCTCCATTCCTCGTGTTATTTCCCCCCCTCACAAAAATACTTTTTTGTTACTGTTGCGACAGGTTTCCTTCGCAATGTAGTCTCTGGAGAACACTATCGTTTCATCAGCATGTGGATGGCCAGGACTTCCTACGTAGCGGCCTTCGTTATCATGGTGATCTTTGTGAGTGTTTTTCCTCTCTTCCTTTCTTCAGTCTGAATTGGTGTTTACGGTCCCCAGGATTTTCAGCTGATATGGGAGACACCCAAAAGCTGAGTTGTGTTTTATGGGCTACAATCCAGCCACAGCCTTGCTCAAGGGAGCTTTGCCATGGTTACAAAATAGCTCTCAGTTAATATAATAATATACAGGTAGTCCTCGACTTACAACGGTTTAAGCCAGAGGTAGGCAACCTTGTCTCTTTTATGACTCGTGGACTTCAACTCCCAGAATTCCTGATCCATGCTGGCTCGGGAATTCTGGGAGTTGAAGTCCACGAGTCATAAAAGAGCCAAGGTTGCCTACCCCTGGTTTAAGCAAATGTTCAGTGACAGTGGCAGTGAAAAAAGTGACTTAGAACTGGTCCTTGCACTTGTGACCATTGCAGCATCCCCAGGGTCATCGTATCAGAATTTGGGTGCTAGGCAACTGGCATGTATTTACGATGGTTGCAATGCCCTGGGATCCTATGATTGCCATTTGGAACCTTCCCAGCCAGCTTCCTCAGAAGCAGAGTCAATGGAGGAAGGCAGATTGGCTTAAAACCCGCATGATTCATTTAACAATTGCAGTGATTTGCTTAATAACTGTTGCAGAAAGGTCAGAAAACTCGCTTAACAACTGCCTTGCTTAGCAACAGAAATTCTGATCCCAACTGTGGTTGCAAGTCAAGGACTACATTTACAGGGGGTCCCTGGGTTAAGAGCTAGTTCCATTCCGAACTCTGTCTTTAACTTGAATGACAGAATGACACAGTTGGAAAGGAGCTTGGGGGGTCTTCTAATCCAGGGGTCCCCAACCCCCAGTCTGTGGGCCGGTACCGGGCCACGGCATGCCAACAACCTGTCTGCACAAACAAGCTAAGTCCCAACTGCGAGTTGCAGGCAGCACACAAAACCACATCCCCTCCAGTCCGCGGAAAAACCTCTCTCCACGGAACCGGTCCCTGGTGCCCAAAAGGTTGTGGACCTCTGTTCTAATCCAACACCCTTGAATTTGTATATAAGTCAGAACTCTTACAAAAGGACTGCCTTTTATTAAAAAATGATGGACAGCATTGTCCTTCTTCAAGCTGATGACCTGCTGAAGCCACACAGTGCTTTCAGGAACTGTATATCAAAATTGTGCAGCTTCACCAGTTCCTGTTTTCAGTGGTTTTCAGTGTTTCATAGTGGTATTTAGTAATACATGGTATTTGGTAAAAAGCAGCTGTTTGCATCTTGGGCTTGACCTTAATTTGGACATTCTTAACCAGGATTGTCTATAAATCAGTTACTGTGATCAGAAAATGAGCCTCTGTATGAAACTCTATCCACTATCCTTTAGTTCAAGGGTGGGGAATGATGGCTCTTTTAAGACTTGTGGACTTCAACTCCCAGAATTCCTGAGCCAGCATAGCTGGCTCAGGAATTCTGGGAGTTAAAGTCCACAAGTGGTAAAGGGGCCATCGTTCCCCACCTCAGCTTTAATTTTTCCAGCTGCAGTTTTATTCACTGTGCTTCTTCTAAGTGTTTTGTAGCCTCTGGCTCTTATCAGCAACTGAACCAGCAAGGAGAGGAAATACTTGGCAGATTCTAGCACTTACAGTTACACAAACACAACACTGTATATGGCAGACGATAAAAGTAATCAAAGGTTTTGGCTGCCTTTCTGGATGCGAAATTAACAAGGAGAGAAAACAAAGATAGCAACAAAGCGTTCAACTTCTAAAGGAGAATATTATGTGAAAGAAGAGACCGGCTGTGATGTAACAAAATAACCCCAATGAAATCGTTAGGGCTTTATCGGATGGGATGTGATTAAGACAGTTTCCAAAATAATGGTAAAAAAAACCTGGGAAGAAATAAAACAAGACCTTGAAAGATGGAAGAGCTGAAAGAATTTCCTGGCGAGGACTTATACCACAATAATACTGTAAAAGGGAATATATTTCCCAAGATAATTTAATTAATTAATGAGTTAAAATCCCACTTCAGATGTGTGAGAGGACCGGTTGCCTGCAAAATGGCTAGCACCTGGGTTGATTGTGCCCTGTCCCTTTAAGACAGGGGTCTTCAAACCTGGCCCTTTTATGACTTGTGGACTTCAGCTCCCAGAATTCCTCAGCCATGCTGGCTTAGGAATTCTGGGAGTTGAAGTCCACGAGTCATAAAAGAGCCAAGGTTGCCTACCCCTGACCTAGAGCCTGTTTCTTCCTCTGTATTTACCAGCCTGCACTTGCCTCGTCAGTCAGGTTTTAGTGACATTTGTCAGTCGTGCAAATGACTTGCCCAATTAGTATTTGAGATCCCTTATAGACATAATGTTTCCTACTTGGAGGAATACAGGTGGATCTGGGAAGTTTTTCCGAGGATAGTAATCCATCTCTGTCAACACACTAAGAACAAAACTTTGGAGCGGTTTAAGTGAATTGTGCTTTTAATTTTAATTCTGGACAAATTAATTTTCCTTCCAGAGAGTGGTTTTTTTTTTTTCAACCATCAGAATCTATGAGTAACACTTTCCCGCTTTTCATTGTTGGCTTTGGGGCTTTAATGCTTTAATGTTTACCTGCCTGTCTCTTTTCAGACTCTGTCTGTTTCCATGCTGCTGCGTTACTCACATCACCAGATCTTCGTCTTTATCGGTAAGTTTTAAAAATCCCTGCTGTGTGAATATCTGCAGTGCCTGGCACCCTGATGGGCTAGGAAGGAGCATGAGGAGAGCACAGAGAAGCCACAAATTACGAGAGTGGGTTCAGTGTCTTGACCCTAGTTTTTAATATAACATAAGGAGGAACTTATTTAAATTTATTACACGCCATTAATGTGATTATTCTAACTACAGGAGTAATTGTGTTAGGTACAGTGGATACATTTAATCTTGATTCAGCTTAAATGAAAATGGCTCCATTTGCTACGCAGCACACCATGCAAAGATTGAGAGTAGCCACCAACCTTGAAAACCTGCACATTCCTGGTTTAAACACGGCTCTAGTCCATTTGCATCCTAATCCATGTTAAATAACTACTCCCTGGTATTCTGGTATGCTGCGTGCAATGATTTATTTTAATGTGCAGTCTTGAACAGCACAGTGAAGTATTTCGTTGTTTGTTCATCCTTGAGTGACTCATCATTTTGGCATCCTGGTATTAGATAGCAGCTGGCTGTTTTTATTGGCTGGAATCCTCTTTAATGATGGAAATTTAATTTTCTAGTAGGGAGTAAGGTTGCATTGGACCAAGAGCATCAGCTTTAAGCGGCTCTAGAAAGCCTGCAGCTAATGTTTATAAGCAGACTTTTATACAGATGGTCCTTGATTTATGACCACAATTGGGGGTCAGAATTTCCAATGCTATGCAGTGGAATTAATGAAGTGAGTCGTGTCTGTTTTTATGACCTTTTTTTGGCTATGGTTGTTCAGGAGATCACTGCAGTTAAGTGGATCACATAGCTGTTAAGCAACTTGGCCTTCCCCCAGTTGACTTTATTTGTTGGAAGTCAGCTGGGAAGGTGACAAATGGCAGTCACGTGACCCTGGGATGCTGCAACCATTGTAAAAGCAGAAGCTGGTTGTCAAGTGCTTGAATTTTGAACATGTGGTTGTGGGGACGCTGCAGTGATTGTAATTGCAGTCCCCCTTTTTTTCCCCCAGTGATGTTGTAACTTCTGTCACTAAACAAATGGTTTTAAGTCAAGGACTATTTGTAAAGTAGGACAGCGTTTCTCAACCTAATCAACTGGAAGATATGTGGACTTCAACTCCCAGCATTTCCCAGCCAGCTAAATGAACTGGCTGGGGAATGCTGGGAGTTGAAGTCCACACATCTTCAAGTCGATTAGGTTGAAAAACGCTGTCCGACTTTACTGAGCTGGCTGGGGAATTCTGGCTAGCTGGGGTATGCTGGGAATTGAAGTCCACACAGCTTCCAGTTGCCAAGGTTGAGAAACCCTGAAATAGGAGATGCTGAAATCGGTATTTTTTTTTCCTTGTTAATGCTGACCGATGGCTTCTTAGTCAGGCATCTGAAATCAGACGTTGCTTTCTGAGACACTCGGTTAGAATCTTGGCAGTGTATGTTCTGGAATATATTCTGGAATATACATTGGCTTTGACCTGTAGAGCCTCTACCCTACCACTGAGTGATTAGTTTTCCTTGTTACATGCCTTGAACTTGGGAATAGGGGAGCTATAGCTCAGCACATCTGGATGGGACAGCTGTGCCCCAATATTTTTACTCTGCTCAGCAGTGCTTCTCTAAATCCTTTTACCTGGGACCCCATTTGACTTGTGGTTGTAGGCCGTGTTCCTGGATCATCCCATAGGCCAGGGATAGGCAACCTTGGCTCTTTTATAACTCGTGGACTTCAACTCCCAGAATTCCTGAGCCAGCATGGCTCAGCTTGGAAACCTCTCCCTTTCCCCTCAGCATGGCCGGCTGAGGAATTCTGGGAGTTGAAGTCCACGAGTCATAAAAAAGCCAAGGTTGCCTACCCTTGCCATAGGCCAAGAAAAATGAGCTAGTCTCTTGCCTGGCTGCTGTCTTTTGACTATTGCTACCTTTCCCCTTTCCAGTGGACCTGTTACAGATGCTGGAAATGAACATGACAATCGCCTTCCCCGCAGCTCCTTTGCTGACCGTCATCTTAGCTTTAGTAGGTAAGGAGACCACCTCAGCTTTTAACCTCCAGAAAGAAACAACATTGGTGGGGGAAGGGGAAGATAACCCCTATTGGCTGGAAGGAACCCACCACTTTGGCAGTCAGTCTTTTCTTGGTTTTACGTATTTATTTATTTAATAATAATAGTAGTAGTAGTAGTAGTAGTAGTAATAGTAGTAGTAGTAATAATAATAATAATTAATAATAATAATAATAATAATAATAATAATAATAATAATAATAATAATAATAAAATATTTGGAAGGGACCTTGGAGGTCATCAAATCTAACCCCCTGCTCAGGTAGGTAACCCTATACCATTTTGGGCAAATGGCTGTCCAGTTTCTTCTTGAAATATTAAACAAATGAGTGTTGGAACATTCATTTGTTTAATATTTAATTGACAGCTGACTATAGAACAGTGTTTCTCAACCTTGGCAACTTCAAGATGTGTGGACTTTAGTTCCCAGAATTGCTGACTTGGGAATTCTGGGAGTTAAAGTCCACACAACTTCAAGTCTCCAAAGTTAAGAAAACTGCTGTAGAACACACACACACACACACACACCTTTTCCAGCCTACTGAAGGATCCTTCGATTGCCTGTCTGCCTTTGGAGATGTCAACTGCCTCAACCCATCACATTGAAGAAATACCTTCCGAAGGACGGGAGGCAGTTCTTAAAGATGAATGCAGAGCTTCCAGTTTTCTGCAGCTACTCAGAGCTCAGTCTGGATTTCAAACCAGTCTCTGTGTTACAAAGATTTCACTGGTGCAAGGAGGCCTCACATTTGAGCTGATAAATATGGAGGGCGAGAACCTCTCAGTCAGCGTGTCGATGTTCTCTTCCTTTTCTTCTCTCTTAAAACAGGCATGGAGGCCATCATGTCCGAGTTCTTCAATGACACCACCACGGCCTTCTACATCATCCTCATTGTGTGGCTGGCCGACCAGTACGATGCAATTTGCTGCCATACCAACACAAGCAAGAGGCACTGGTTGAGGTACGAACCTGGGACTTGACTCAGGCCGGGAGAGGCCAGGGGAGTCCCTGGACCAGAGATGGGCAACCTTTGGGAAGCAAGGCGAGTGGGGGGGGGATCTTTTAAACATTTTTGGAGGACTCAAAATGGGCAGAATAGACAATCTATTGTACCTAAGGGCTTTCCTAAAAGGTTTTTTTTTTTAAATCCTGCCTTTATTATTTTTTAAATACCTCAAGGCAACAAATACACCTAATACTCCTTTCTTCTCCTATTTTTCCCCTAGTAACAATTCTGTGAAGTACGCTGGGTTGAGAGAAAGTGACTAGCCCAAAGTCACCCAGCCAGCTTTCATATCTAAGGCAGAAATAGAACTCATCGTCTCCTGGAGATTGGCCCAAAGTCACCCAGCCAGCTTTCAGATCTAATGAGGGACTATAACTCATAGTCTCCTGGTTTTTAGCCTGGTCCCTTAACCACTAGACCAGGGGTAGGCAACCTTGGCTCTTTTATGACTCGTGGACTTCAACTGCCAGAATTCCTGAGCCAGCATAGCTGGTTCAGGAATTCTGGGACTTGAAGTCCACGAGTTGTAAAAGAGCCAAGGTTGCCTACCCCTGTACTAGACCAAAGCGGTTTTTAAGATTTTTCAGAAAAGCAACATAAGGAGTCATAGAATGTCCACCCCCAGTTTAGAGCAGCACTTAGATATTCAGCTGCCCTCACCTTGCCTGACGGATTGTCTGTCTGTAGTGTCAGGTGTTGAGCTCATTTTTTTTCAGATTGGCGACCTCTTGATATTCTGGTTGATATATAAGCTTGACTCCTTAAACCAGGGGTCTTCAAACTTGGCCCTTTTATGACTTGTGGACTTCAACTTCCAGAATTCCTCGGCCAGCGTGCCTGTCTGAGGGATTCTGGGAGTTGAAGTCCACAAGTCTTAAAAGGGCCAAGTTTGAAGACCCTTGCCCTAAACCCGGCATCTTTTCCCAACCCCCTTGACCTCTCCGTGGCATCGTTGCCCTTTCCCTTCCCTGGTTATCCTCCCTCACTGATTATGGCACATGGGCTGTTTCTCATCCTTCACTTTTACACATTTCCTTCGAAACAAAGGGGGGGGGAATACAACCCTTTTATGTTCAAAAAGGAAGGATGGAAGCAAACTGGACTGTGTCAATATTGTGTGTAAATGTGTGTGCATGCATATTTATATTTCCGTTTCTCTCCAGGTTTTTCTACTTGTACCACTTTGCCTTTTATGCCTACCATTATCGTTTCAATGGGCAATATAGCAGTTTAGCCTTGGTAACTTCGTGGCTTTTCATACAGGTATGCTGCTGGCTCTAACCATGGTTCTTACGGCATTGTTTGAACCCCCAAATCCTGACAGACTTCAAAAGAGAGAACTATTCTAGACTTTAGCCTTCCTGAGAAAATACTATTTCAGACATTGTTGTTTGCCAAGTTTCTAGTTCTTTTGCTTTCATGTACAGATAGTCCTCGACTTATAACCACAACGAAGACCAAAATTTCCGTTGTTAAGTGAGACATTTGTTCGGTAGGTTTTGCCCCATTTTACAACTTTTCTTGCCACGGTGATTAATAAGTTAGTAACCCGGTTGTGAAGTGAATCTGGTTTCCCCATTGACTTTGCTTGTCAGAAGCTCGCAAAAAGTGATCATATGACCCAGGGACACAGCAACGGTCATAAATAGGAATCAGTTGCCAAGCATCTGAGTTTTGATCACATGGGAATGCTGCAACATTCGTAACTGTGAAAAATGGTTCATAAGTCACATTTTTCAGTGCTGTTGTAACTTTGAACAGTCACTAAATGAACTGTTGTAAGTCAAGGACTACCTGTATGCAGATAACATACATTTGAAAGCTCAGAAGTTATCCAGGGTATCATTGTGTCTTCCCGAATAGCTAGACCCTGGTAAAAGATAAAAATCTATATTTTATCTGAACAAAAAAGACAAGGCAGGGGTAGTTGGTAGAGAATGTTATGGCAACAATTTGCCCCATCTTAGCCCCCCAAAATTGTGGTTTGCGCTGGCTGTGCTGCTTTCATTTGGGGAACCACCGCAGGGCCAAAAGAACAGTTGGCGGCGGGGCAGGGGGATTCAGGAAAGATGGTTAGGATTGCAGGCTGGTGGTCTTGTTTTGTTGGCACGGATCCCACTCGGTCTTCACCAGCTGCTTTTAATGGAGTTGGAGCAGGAATGGGCATGTTTCATACAGTCAAATGATAGTATGTTTCATGCAGGGTAGGGAATTTGGCCTTTCTTAACAGCCTCTGAGTTACGTGGATGGCAGTGTGATTCCCATCTTCATTTTCCACAACTCAAGGAGGCATATGTAAGATTCCTACTTGTTATTTTCCCAAGAGAACAGCCCTTTGAGATGGGCTGAGCTGAAAGAGAGGGACTAACTAATCCAAAGTCACTTAGCAATAGCATTTAGACCAGTGTTTCTCAACCTTGACAATTTTAAGGCATGTGGACTTCAACTCCGAGAATTCCACAGCCAGCATTGCTGGCTGTGGAATTCTGGGAGTTGAAATCTACATGCCTTAAAATTGTCAAGGTTGAGAAACACTGATTTAGACTTATATACCGCTGCATAGTACTTTACAGCAGTGTGTCCTCAACTTTGGTGACTTGAAGATGGGTGGACTTCAACTCCCAGAATTCTGGGATTTGAAGTCCACCCATCTTTAAGTCACCAAGGTTGGGGAACATTGCTTTGCAGCACTCTCTAAACCAGGGGTCTCCAACCCCCGGTCCGTGGACCGATATTGGGCTGTGGCATGCCAGCAACCTGTCCATACAAACAAGCAAAGCCCCATCCGCGGGATGCAGGCAACACACAAAGCCACGCCACCCCCCTCCGGCCCGCGGAAACACCTCTCTCCATGTAACCAATCCCTGGTGCCCAAAAGGTTGGAGACCTCTGCTCTAAGCTGTTTTACAGAGTCAGCCTATTGCCCCCAACGATCTGGGGGTCCTCATTTTACCAACCTCGGAAGGATGGAAGGCTGAGTCAACTTTGAGCCGGTCAGGATCGAACCGCTGGCCGTGGGCAGAGTTAGCCTGCCATACTTCCTTCTAACCCAGTGATTCTCAACCTTTTTAATGCCGCGACCCCCGACCAGTCGTAAGTTGAGGACTACTCAACCGGTCGTAAGTCGAGGACTACTCAACTGGTGCAGCACCGTTTGCAGAATGGGACTTTTGGCGGGCTCAGCAGGGCAGAGACAGCCTGGACAATCCTATTGGCTTTTGAAAGCCAATAGAATTAGACTCTATTCAAGAGAGTCTATTCTATTGGCTTTCAAAAGCCAATAGAATAAAAGGGAGTAGCACAGCTAAGGAAAAGGGGGAAAAAATGGCGGACTGCGTTGTTTGGCGACCCCCATGAAATGGTAGTTCGACCCCAAATGGGGTCCCGACCCACAGGTTGAGAACCACTGCTCTAACCACTCTGCCAACAGGCCTGTTAAGAAAGTACTTAGCTGGCTTTCTAGCCTAAGGAAGAACTAGACCTCCTTCTCTCCCAGTTTCTAGCCTGGCACCTTCACCACCACACCATACTGGTTCTCTTTAAAGCTTGAGGAGGTGCAACTGATTTACACATTATTTTTTGGGGGGGGGGGAGGGGAGAACAGTTCTTGCTCAGCCCATTAAGGTCATTAAGGCTTTTCTTTCCTCTTGCTCCTCTCCCCCCCCCCCCGGCAGCATTCCATGATCTATTTTTTCCACCACTACGAGTTGCCAGCCATCCTCCAACAGATCCGGATCCAGGAGATGCTGCTCCAGAACCAGCAGGTGGGGACCCAGACGACTCTCCAGGACAACCTCAACAACAACACCACCGTTGCGGCAACCAATTCGGCTGAGCAGCAGCCCCACCTGGACGCCAGCACGGCTGGGGCAGGAGACGGGTCCCTGGCTTCCGGGGAAGGCCACCTTCCCCCGGCCTCCAGCCCTGGCGCCTCCCTGGGGAATGACTTGAGTTGGGTGGCAGAGACAGCAGCCGTCATCACAGAAGCCTCCTTTCTGTCCAACCTGGGCAGTTCCTTTTTGGACTCCAGGGCCAGTCCAGCAGTGGGGACTGGTGGCGGGACTTTGCAGGACCTGGAGCCCGCTCCGAGCACGATGACCCAAAGTTTATTTAGTAGTGACCATACAGAAGTGGTCTCTGCCACTATTGAGCCCACGTCACCCGTTGGGACTTCTGTGACCAACACACCTCCTGTTAGGGCCCATTCAGAGCTGGAAGATACTCCCCAGCCATCCGAGAGTTCAGCAGGCCGTGCTGAGCCTCTGAAGACGGACTCCTTGCAAGATTCAGCTTTAAGGGGGCTCCCGAGTCCGGCATCTGAAGGGCTTGCCGAGCAGGATCCCACGCTGCTTTCCCCAGAAAGTACGATCTCCTGATTCCCCGCAAAGCTGCTGCTTCTCCTGACTCTGTAGGAGACTGGATGGCTTTCTGACTGCACAATTTGTTCTCCGTATCAAGTTCCTCTGAGAGAAGAAAGAGGCAGAGCTAGAATGTAAGATGAAGAGAGATAGAGGGTCCTCTTCTCTCCCGCCTTCCAGGTACCAGGAAAGGGGGAAAAAAAAAAAAAGCTGAATAAAAAAAGAGAGGGAAGCAATTGTAGATGTTAGTCCCTGCATCGGAATCGAATCTTTTTGCAAGAAGCGATTTCTGCATCTTTCTCAGTGAATTGCGTTAAGACCCAATTTCTCATCTCCACCCCACTCTGCAATTTCCCAGACTGCATGGAATCACGGGACTCCCTCTTGGTATCTGCTGGAGATCTTAATTGGCATTTAGACCCTTGTGTTTGCATTCAGTTTTGTCTGAAAGGGTGCTTGGAAACGCCGGGGGGGGGGAATGGGTATCATGACAAAAATGTTTTGGATGCAACTCGGAATTGGGCGGGTGGCCGGTGCAGTTATAAAGAAAAATTGATCCTCAAGCGGAAGACACAGCATGGAAAGTTGCCATGAACTGGCTCCAGGATTATCAATGAGAATTATTATTTGAGAGGTCTTAAATAATTGAGTCCTTAAAAAAAAAAAAATCCTTTGTATGGTTTGGACTGCATCTATAAACACCGTGTTAATTTCTCTCATTTTTGTCTAAAGAGGGTTGTAGAAGATTATTTAAATAATATAACAGGCTTGTGGGGGGGGGAGTGTCTTGTCCCATTTCTGCCCCCCCCCCCATTCCCCATCCTTCAACCCAGATCCTTTTCTTCATGCAACCGTGGAGCTAGGCCTGCCCTGAGGAAAAGATGGGAGCTTTGCCGTTTTTATTACCTCAAATTGTTTTTCCCATTAGCCTCCAAGTGGGAAGAATCCAGTGACGGGCGAAAACAGGAACGCTGAGGTGGTGGCCCCTTTGCACTTGTGTGAGATGGCTGGATGGACAGAGAGGCTTACGACAGTTCTGAGTTGGCGTGGGGCTAATGCTTTCAAATGCCAAGCGGAGAATTGCACTTAAAGAGTTAAAAAAAAGAGGAGCCAAAAAAAAAATGGACTGGCCAGGATGCATTAGAGCAGTGTTTCTCAGCCTTGGCAACTTTTAAGTCCTGTGGACTTCAATTCCCAGAATTCTGCTGGCTGGGGAATTCTGGGAGTTGGAGTCCACATTGTCTTAAAATTGCCAAGGTTGAGAAACACTGCCTTAGACTGAGCAAGGGGTCTTCAAATTTGGCCCTTTTGTGACTTGTGGATTTCGACTCCCAGAATTCCTCAGCCAGGCATGCGTGCCTGGCTGAGGAATTCTGGGAGTCGAAGTCCACAAGTCACAAAAGGGCCAAGTTTGAAGACTTCCCTGCCTTAAGAGCCAGAGGAATGGCTGAAAAGTGAGTTTTTCTTTTTGTCAGTTCATCTGAAGAGTTCCCATTAGCTGCTGCTTATGCCCTTAAATGAGGGTGATTGTATTGTCCAGTTGATAGGATTTCAGCATGCACGGAGGGAATTGCCTCCCCCAGCATGACCACTAAGGATTCCCTGTTCTTCCTTTCCAGAATCAAGCTGCTTTCTATCAATTGGGAGCAGCCATTTGGCAACCGGTTTTCGTAGGTTGGCTTTGGAACCGTGTTCCCGAGTGCCTTCTCTAGACTTTCCCAAATCTGGCAAGAGGGAGGACTGATTGGGGGGGAGGATTGGGTTTGAGCAGTAGGAAGCTGAGCAGACCCCCGGGTTCCTGACCCCCACCACTCCCCTCTATGACTTTCCGAGCACGAATCAAATCTCTGGGAGAGGTAACCTCATGTTGTGTACCGCAAAAGAGACGGAGAGAGGCTGAGGGCAGATCCGGCCGGTGTGCAAATGGACTGCCCGGGGGCTGGGTTTGGAAATTAAAAAAAAAAATTAAAAAAATGGCAAGCCAGTGCTTCCCCTTCCCCCAGCGAAGATGACCAATTCCTGTGCAATAGATTAGTTGAGTTCTTGGCTGTGGGCCAATTCTCTACCCAGATCGGTCACCGAAGACTCTTCTAACTGGTCAGACGTTGGGCCTGTCCGCTTCTGAGATTTTTGGGAAGGAAGAGGCAGAATTGGGTGGAAGAAAGAGAATCAAACTCAACCACACGACTAGAGTTCATTCTGTTTAATGTACAAAATGTTTGTATGAGTGTACATATATATATATATATACACATATATATATAGTATACTGTATAAATACTGTATTTAATCGTTATTTGTTTCTTCTTTCCTCGTCAGTCATACCCTTTGGGGGGGGACACGGGGAGGGGGGGTTAACAAGTGCCGGCGCCATAGCGAAATTAACAGCAACCAGGAGAGGTTCAGCTATTCCTGGTAGGAAGATCTCTTCTGGAGAGCTGTGTTTCGTTTACAGTTTGTAATATTTCACTTGTTCTGGCCAGTGGATTTGCCCATTCCCCGTATGAATGGCTTCCGTCTTCTGCTCAGCAGTGCTAGTCTTGACCTCCCGCTATCACCCGGCATGCTGGAATTCAGCCCCTCCAGAGGTTGAGAATAAGGCCCAGGAAAACAGGGTTCCACTGGTTTACCGCCAGGTTGCCATTTTAATGTGAGAGAAACGGGACATTTCTCTCATTTTACTTTTAATTAGAGATGATTTAATTTTTGTGCTGGCTTCACCCAGGTCTTGGACTGGCACCATCTATCTTGGAGGCCTGGCCCAGCCTTACCGCTAAAAGGCCAAATGGGACCTTCAGTTGGCCATATATTGCAAACTCCTGTTAGAGAAGCCATATCACTGCTCTTAATATATCAACTCATCTCTCTAAAAAGGCTTCTATTCATCAGATCGCAAAATATTCCCTGAGCATCCACCTGAATTTATTTTTCCATTCCTCACTCCAGATATTGAGCTGTGAGAGAGTGCAGGATTCTTTGGGGACAAGAAAAATCCAAAACAAAGTTGTGAGTTTCCAGAATGTAACTAAGAAAGGGGAAAAAAACCCCATCGTTTTATTTTTCTAAAAGCGTGAAAATGTTCCTCTTTTGATTCTTAAGTCTATTAACCAGTCTATTTTTTTTTAAAGTAAATAAAATGGAGAGGACGGGGTTTTTTATATAAAAAATGAACAGTAGCCCAATTCAGCATTCTTCCAATTCCTGCCCCCTCTAGATCTGGGAGATTACACTTCCCATCATTTCCAAACATTATGGGCTGGCAGAGATGGGAATTGGGGCCCAATACGTCTTGAAAGGCATCAAATTTTGGAAGACTGTTCTGCATATAACTAAAAGACCTTTTGCGATATCACTTACATTCGCACTGCACAAAAATAAATACCAAAGACAAACTCCAGCGTGGCTGATGATGTAAACCTGTCAGAAGTATTTAAACTTCGATTGCATATCCAAGAACCATCCCAGCTTTATTTTCAAGCAAATTCCTTTTGAAAAATTGGGCTTCGGGATTGATACCTGGTGTTTGAAAGTATTTATTTGGTTTTAATTTATTTGTAAGATTTATAAACTGCCTCACACGTCAGCTCTTAAGAGGCCATATGGAAACACTCAGGCACATCTATTGTATTTCTTTGGTTTCCAACCTGTTCCTGCTTTATGAAAGAAAAAAAAATACCTAAAACGGTGAACAGCATAACCTTGGTTATATGAAGGACGGCTGTGCAAAGGTGAATTCAAATTGCAAATTCTGTGTTTGCCACACACATATAACGCCTGCTGGGATACATTATTAAAGCATTTCCACTTTGCCTTGGACTGATGTGATTGCCCACCCCAGCTGCTGTGTAATTGTGAGAAGGAAGACATTTAGCATAAGGTGACCCTGATACATAAGGACCTGTGTGTGCCCTGAATTCAGATTTTGCCCTTTAACTTGAGATCTGCACAGTTGTAATACGAATCTGCCTTCTAACGATGGCTGTGCGCATGCCAAACTGATTTAGTCAATTATAGGGCCAGGCTTCTCTTGCCCAGAATGAACTAGGACTCCCACAGGGTTCTAAAGAAAAAAAGCTGATTTAAATAGGACAGTTTTATGAAAGGCAGAGTTGAGATTGATGACGGTGCCTCTCTAGCTCAGCTGAAAAAAAGACAGTATTTGTTTTGCTTTTTGCTTGTTTGTTATTACAACTCACTGCTACCTCTTTGACTGGGAAACGCTCTCTTGGAGTTGAGAAGGAGCTTTCATCTCCCAGGTGTCTCCTGCTTTGCTTCAGCTGAGTTCTTGCAGACCCAAGTTCTCAACCTGTCACATGCCCCCCTTAACATTAAATAATACAAGAAATCTTTGGGTTTCGTAATAGCCACGAGCTACTCCCTTAATCCCTAAATCGGTCCCAATCTGGGTTTCGCTTGACTTAAGCTGTGCTTCTGAATTTCTACACCTTTCTTAAAAATTCATTCTGAATCCTGCGTATTATCCATTCTCAGTTAGGAAAGCTGCAGGCTGGTTGAAGGGCCGCGCCTGATCTTTAAATTGTCTAAATATAGATGAGAGAGATTTGAAGCAGAACGTGCTCCAGTAACAAGAAGAGTTCAGAAGCCAGGAGAGTTTAAATGACTATACAGGATTCAGGATTTTTTTTGGTAATAGGTCGATAACTTTCTAATTGCTCTTGAGAGTTGCTGGCTTATAAGCTGAGCCCATTGTTAAAAAGGCTTGCCAAGTCACTGGTAGAGATGAACAGGAAAATCCAGTATTAAATATACAGAAACAGGAAGTCTAAAATCCTCCTGCCCATAATCTTGAGAATCTTTGCTACAAGTAGCCCTTGACTTCACAACCATTAAACAATCATTTGTTTAGTGACCAAAGCTACAAAGGCACTAAAAAAAGTGACTTATGACCATTTTTCACATGTTTGCAGCATCCCTGTGGTCACGTGATCAAAATTTGGATGCTTGGCAACTGGCATGTACTTATGACAGTTGCAATGTCCCAGGATCATGTGGTTACCACTTATAACCTTCCCAGCCAGCTTTCAACAAGCGAAGTCAGTGGTTAATGACTGTGTTACCAACTTAACTGCAGTTATTCACTTAATAACTGGCAGGAAAGGTTATAAAATGGGGCAATACTCAACAACTGTCTCACTTAACAATGAAGATGTTGGACATAAATCGAGGACTATCTGTATATTACCAGGAGTACAATAGGTTAAATAATACATAATGCAAATTGGTTCATTCACTCACCAACAGTCTCCCTTGCTGCAAAATAAAAAAAACAAAAATACAATTGACAGCAATGGGGAAACATGAGGAGCTACAGTCTCCTTTTCCTCAAACAGAAGTATGTTAGTTTGCAGAAAACCATGATGGAGAACCAGGGCTTGATCCATGTTTTCTATAAATAACACTATCAAGAAAAAGGGGATTTTTTTTCAGGAACAGTCTTAATTAGCCGAAACAGTCTGCAAGGCTACAGTTGCTCTCTGATCCGAAAAACCTGAGCTACAATGCAAAGTTCTTCCAATTCTCATTTGACGATCAAAAGCTCGGCTTGTTAAAACTAAGCTGCTAGATTAGAACATGGTTCCTTCCAATCCGCAAAAACCTCTTCCCATCCCAGCATCTTAAACAGAAGAGGCTTCAGTTGGCAGACTGTTAACCTACATAAAGAAATTGCACCTAAGCCAAACTGGATACAGCAAATCTGTGCTATGTGTGAAATGTGCTATAGCCCAGCTCTGCAGTAACTCAAACATTTTCCCCAGAGCTCACCTGAATGAAACCTTTGCTGAACCTGAGCTGCAGGTAAGATCCTGAGGTGCACTGCATATTTTATAAAGGAGAAGACAAAACATATCCAAACCCGTCTTTTCTCTCCGTTTAATTTTCTACTGTACTTTCCATGATAAGGTGCTATTCACTGGGCTCTATAGTTTTCTTGCTCTGCCTCCCACTGGCCAATGTTCAGAGGACAAATGGGATTTCAGACCCCCTCCCGTTGGCTTTCTGCCCACCAAAAATAAGAATATTTTACCCTGATTTGCCTAATTAAAAGGGGAGAATTTCTAAGGACAGTTAGAGCCCACCAGTGCAATCCCATAGCAATATCGGTAATCCTTGGTCATTTATGACCAGTTGTTTAATGTGTGTTCAGAGTTATGATGGACCTTCCAAAATGCTACTTCTGACCCATTTTCAAAGTTACAACAGCTGCACACACACACGCACAGACACAAACTTACAATCACATAATTGCATTTTGGGCATTTGACGACTGACTCATCTTTACGACTGTTTGCAGCATTCCACAATCACGTGGGCATGATTTGCTGTGTGTTTTGCTGATTTCTGGCATTCACTTCCAGTTTCCAACAAAAAAACCTCATCAGATAAAATTGAATCGCTTAATGACCGCACTGTTTGCTTAATGATGGCTGCAAAAAATGTAGACAAAAATCAGGTCTGGTCATGGGTTGCCTCAATTTACGACCGCAACTACTTAAGACTAATTCAGGGCTCAATTACAGTCACAAGTGAAGGACCACCTGTAAACACTTTCAGACTCTGCCAGTTTGCTGGGCAAGTCAGGAAGAAAAAAATTTCTGGGGCCAGATAACAAAAAGCGAACCCTGAAGCTGCCTTAAACGGAGTGAGTCTAGTTGCTCTGCTTATTCGTCCCTTCTTGTGCCCATTTGATGTGTTGGAGATGGCAGCTCCCATATTCTCAAGCTTTGACTGGAGTTCTGAGTTTTGTTCTCCTGGAATATCAGGAGAGGACCCCAGGAGATCCTATAGCACTCTGGACAAATGGCTGTCCAGTTGCTTCTTAAAAACCTCCAGTGATGGAGCACCCACAACTTCTGAAGGCAAAGCCGTTCCACTGGTTAATTGTCCTCACTGTCAAGAAATGTCTCCCTAGTTCAGGGGTAGGCAACCTTAGCTCTTTTATGACTCGTGGACTTCAACTCCCAGAATTCCTGAGCCAGCCATGCTGAGGGGAGAAGGGAGAGTTTCCAAGCTGAGCCATGCTGGCTCAGGAATTCTGGGAGTTGAAGTCCATGAGTCATAAAAGAGCCAAGGTTGCCTACCCCTGCCCTAGTTCTAGGTTGGCTTTCTCTTTGTTAAGCTTCCATCCGTTTCAAGGAAGGCTGGTCTGTCCTTGTTATCATCCAGAATTGGCTGAGGGGAGAGGAGGAAAGCATGGAGCCCCTCTGCCTTGTCCTGAGTCCAATTGGACGAAGCTTTTCTATCAAATCAGCCCCTGTTGAGATCAGGGCAAATGAGAGGTTGGCAGGTCCCTCTGAAGTCCTCAAGCTATTCTTTAGGCCCACCCTCTCAAAATTACACAGCCAAATCTTGGTGGAAAATTACTGAGAAATAAAATCAGGACGATGGAGGGAATAATAAATAATGCCCCAAGGGCGTATACATTTTCTTTTAAGCTTATCCAATGTGTCTCCCCACCTCTCCTCTCTCCCTCTCCCTTCCCCTCCCCTCTCCTCTCTTCCAGGAATCCTACTTCTGTCCACTTTGATGATGTCATTACCCAACCTACTGCAATCTTGGTTGCCCTGTCCCATGGGATGCCTCCCAGGGTCTCCCAACTGCTGGGATATTGCTCCTTCCATGTAAACCAGTGGTTCTCAACCTGTGGGTCGGGACCCCATTTGGGGTCGAACGACCATTTCACGGGGGTCGCCAAACGGCTCAGCAGGGCAGAGACAGCCTGGACAATTCCTATTGGCTTTTGAAAGCCAATAGAATTAGACTCTATTCAAGAGAGTCTATTCTATTGGCTTTCAAAAGCCAATAGAATAAAAGGGAGTAGCACAGCTAAGGAAAAGGGGAAAAAAATGGCAGACTGAGCTGTTTGGCGACCCCCGTGAAATGGTCGTTCGACCCCAAATGGGGTCCCGACCCACAGGTTGAGAACCACTGACTTAGAAGATCTGTGAATTAATAATCTGGATTCCGAACATATCTAGCTCTGCCTGCTTGTCAACCACTCTGCCACCATCTTTCTCATCCTGGTGGCTTTTTCAACAGACATGGATTAAGAGGGACTTTCCACATGCACATAAGGGTGACCAGCAACCCACGATGGCCCCTTGGATGGAAACTGATCTGGGGGAAGGCAAGGAAAGCTAGGGAAAAAAAACCATCTCCCGACCAGTATCTATTCTTCACGGTTTTGCTCTTTGCACTGGCATTCTTCACCAGGAAAATGAGTCCAGAGTCCAGCTCAAGTCACCCCCTCCATTCCATCACCTGTCCTCCTTGCTCTCCCTGATCAATGCCTTCAGGGCAGGGGGCAGCCGAGGAGCTTTCGGGGGTGGTCCAAGGGCCACCATGAGCTCACTCTTCCGTACCAGGGCCACCCTCAGCTGCTCACGCATATCTTCAATTTTGCTCTCCAGCTCCTCCAGTTCCTTCTGCTTGGCCTCCTTGCTGTCCTGCTGGGGGTCCTGGCCGTTCATGCAATGCCACACGGGCCCTGCTCGCTCGTCTTCGGAGGATTCCTCTGGGATGTTATCAATGTTGAAGTGCACCCGTTTGTCTTCCTTCTTTATTGCTGTGCCACGGAGGTTGTTCCAGGCCTCCTGGCTGGGGGAAGGCTGGGGTTCATCTGGAAGCTTTTGAAGATTGCAACTTTGGAGGAGGAGAGAGGAGAAAATGTAAATCTGGATGTCCCCCCCCTCCCCCGACACTTTTTTTTTTTAAGAAAAAAGAATAGGAGTCTCAACAATTTAGCAATTCCTTTAAAAGCGCTCGTGCCTTTTTTTACAGCAGTGGTTCTCAACCTTTTTAATGCCGTGACCCCCAACCGGTCGTAAGTCGAGGACTACTCAACTGGTGCAGCACCATTTGCAGAATGGGACTTTTGGCAGGCTCAGCATGGCAGAGACAGCCTGGACAATTCCTATTGGCTTTTGAAAGCCAATAGAATTAGACTCTATTCAAGAGAGTCTATTCTATTGGCTTTCAAAAGCCAATAGAATAAAAGGGAGTAGCACAGCTAAGGAAAAGGGGAAAAAAATGGCAGACTGCGTTGTTTGGTGACCCCCGTGAAATGGTCGTTCGACCCCAAATGGGGTCCCGACCCACAGGTTGAGAACCACTGTTTTACAGCCACACACACGTATCGTAAGAAAACGTACAAAGAATTGCAATCATAAGCTCAGTAGAAGGTGCACAAAGTCAGGACAAAATAACAATAGAAACACAGACCACTTAGGATGGAACCATGAAAATTCAATGTGTCTCCAACCTTGGCAATTTTAAGATGGATGGACTTCAACTCCCAGAATCCTTCACTCATGTATTACGGGTGGTTCTTGAGTTACAATGGTAATGGAGCCTCGGCGTGATCGTGATAGTCATAAACTGGGTCACCCACACGACTGATCAGATTTTACGATCATTTTTGCAGTGGTCATTGCGCGAATGCTGAGGTTGTTAAACAAATCTGTGATTCGGTAAGAGCTGGTTCTGCCGAAAACCGGAAGTAAATGCCTGTTTTCGGCAAAAATGTCATAAAATGCAGTCATGTGACTGCAGGACACCATAAATGAGGTTCGGCTACATGTGTCCCAAAGTGCAGTTATGTGACTACAGGGAGAGGGGCAACTTCAGACCTTCTAATCCAGGTTATAGAAAGCCGTGGTGGCGCAGTGCTTAGAAGGCAGTATTGCAGGCTAACTCTACAAACTGCCAGCAGTTCGATCCTGACCAACTCAAGGTTGACTCAGCCTTCCATCCTTCTGATGTTGGTAAAATGAGGACCCCGGATTGTTGGAGGCCAATAGGCTGACCCTGTGAACCGCTTAGAGGGCTGTAAAGCACCGTGAAGCGGTATATAAGTAGAAGCGTTATTGCTATTGCTACCCCAGGAAGCCTGGTGTAACTCTGAATGGTCACTAAGTGATGAGTTGTAACTCGAGGACTACCTGTATTCAGACAACCATATAGATAGTCCTCAACTTATAGCTCTTGGCAACAAGCCTACATGACTGGGTCACGCAACTGCTATTCAGGACATTTTTGTCAAAAAACAGTATTTACTTTCGGTTTTCAGCAAAAAGGATAGTAAATAATGGGGTCAGTTAATGACCATAGATTCACTTAATAACCGTGGTGATTCACTTATCTGAAATGAATGGAATGGAATGGAATGGAATAGAATAGAATAGAATAGAATAGAATAGAATAGAATAGAATAGGAGCTGGAAGGGATCTTGGAGGTCTTCTAGTCCAGCCCCCTGCTCAAGCAGGAGAACAGATACCATTTCAGACAAGTGAATGTCTAATCTCTTCTTAAAAACCTCCAGTGATGGAACGCCCACGATTTCTGAAGGCCAGCTGTTCCACTGGTTAATTGTCCTCACTGTTAGGAACTTTCTCCTTAATTCCAGGTTGCTTCTCTCTTGGATCCGTTTCCATCCATTGTTTCTTGTCTTGCCCTCTGGTGCTTTGGAGAATAGCTTGACTCCTTCTTCTTTGTGGCAGCTCCTCAAATAGGGTTTCCTGCCTGAGCAGGGAGTTGGACTAGAAGACCTCCAAGATCCCTTCCAACCCTCTTATTCCCACAAGCAAGCTATAAAATCAGGCCAGCCACTTTACAAGCATCACATGAGGCCTCCCTCAAGCAAGCAAGCAAGCAAGCAAGCAAGCAAGCAAGCTATAAAATCGGGCCAGGCGCTTTACAAGCATCACACGAGGCCTGCCTGTAATGTGGCCTGGGTTGGCAAACCAGTTCAGAACAGCTGACGCAAAAAGAATTTACCTTTTCTCCAACTTCAGCTTCTTGAGCCTCTGTTCCTCCAGTCCCATGTTTAGAGCCCGGTGTATTTTCTGGGTTATGCATATAAAAATCACAAAGAAATAAAGGCTCCGGAGATTTGTAACAATGAAGGAAAATAATGGGGAAAAATAACTTTTCTAAAAATAATTGGGAGGAGAGTCCCAGTTGCACAAACGTCATTATTATTCACGGCTTTGCGCCATGGTCATTATTTCTCTCCAATGTTTCACCCATTTTATCATGCAACTTTTAACTTGTGCTGCCTCTATCTCGCATTTTAGCAACATTTTAAAAATATCTCCTCCCATCCCAGTGGAGGCATTTGATTGACTGATTAACCACAGAATCCCACTTCCCTCCAGGATGCCCCTGCCCTCCCCCCTCTGTCATTCGACTGCGGCATCAGTGCCATAAATAAATAAATAAATGGTCTTGGTTCTGCACATGCTTTTAAAAATCATTTAAATCGTTTTTTTCTCAAGCTGTCTCCTTTTCTCAGATCGTAAAAACAAACGGAAGACCATGGGAAGCCTTAGAAGCAGCTCATGAGCTCTAGAACAGGTAGTCCTCGACTTACGACCAAAACTGAGACAAGAATTTCCACCGCTAAGCAAGGCAGTTATTAAACGAGTTGCACCCGATTTTACAGTCTTTTTTGCCACAGTTATTAATAGGGTAGCAATAGCACTTAAGACTTATATACCGCTTCACAGTGCTTTACAGCCCTCTCTGAGCGGTTTACAGAGTCAGCCTATTGCCCCCAACAATCTGGGTCCTTATTTTGCCAACCTCGGAAGGATGGGAGGCTGAGTTAAACATGAGCTGGTCAGGATCGAACTGCTGGCAGTTGGTAAAGTTAGCTGCAATACTGCCTTCTAAGCACTGCACCACCAGGGCTTTCTACAACTTGGATTAGAAGGTCTGAAGTTGCCCCTCTCCCTCCAGGCACATAACTGCACTTTGGACACATGTAGCCGAGCCACATTTATGACGTCCGCATGACTGCATTTTATGACATTTTTTGGATGGAAGGCTGAGTCAATCTTGAGCCAGTGAGAATCAAACTGCCGAACTGCTGGCAGCCGGCAGTCAGCAGAATTAGCCTGGAGTGCTGCCTTCTCATCATTGCACCACCACAACTCTTAACCAAATCACTGCAGTTGTTAAGTGAATCATATGGTTGTTAAGCAAATCTGGTTTCCACTATTGACTTTGGCTTGTCAGAAACCAGCTGGGAAGGTCACAAATGGTGAACGCCTGAGCCCAGTGCATGACCAGTGCAACCGTCGTAAGTACATGCCAGTTGCCAAGTGCCCAAATATTGATCACGTGACTGCAGGGATGTTGCAACAGTTATCTCTCTCAGCTCACAGGGAGGAGGAAGGTTTGTTGGAGACGTTTGCCACCTTGAGTTATTTGCAAAAGTAATAAAGGTGGGCTATCAATCAACCAATCAATAATAAGTGTGAGGATTGCTTATAAGTCACATTTTTTCAGTACCGCTGTAACTTCGAACTAAGCGAATGGCTGTAAGTCAAGGACTTCCTGTAGTCACTGCTTTCTTTCAGAATGAAACGAGACCCACCCAACCACCCGTCTCCACCCTGAGATGATACACACGTCTCCGAGATTATCCCTCACCTGGCTGGTATGGAGCCAATAATTGAATTTCTTCTTGCGCCGAATGCGAGGCAAGATGAGTCGGTAAAAGACGTGTTCTCCGAGGGAGGTGAGCAGGGAGCCACAGAGTCCGATGCAAAGGAGGACAAAGAGGCCGGAGAAGTGGTAGATCCCCATCTGCAGAGTCTGGAAGCGATGGGGGGAAGAAGGAACACGGGCAGGATTAACCCCAATGGGAACGTTCAGATTTGGAAACACAACTCCTCATGTTCGTTATGCACGTGTGGACAAGGAGGAGGAGGAGGCATGGCAAACCTCTCGGAATACTTGTCTACGTATTCCGGCATTTTGGAAAGGTGCCTCCTCCAGAGTTGCTTGGGGCAACGGCCTTTTGCCGGTGCATTATCAGTGCATCCTAGGCAAGGGTAGGCAACCTCGGCTCTTTTATGACTCGTGGACTTCAACTCCCAGAATTCCTGAGCCAGCCATACTGAGGGGAAAGGGAGAGGTTTCCAAGCTGAGCCATGCTGGCTCAGGAATTCTGGGAGTTGAAGTCCATGAGTCATGAAGCAGCCTAGGCCTAGGCCAGGGTTAGGCAACCTTGGCTCTTTTATGACTCGTGGACTTCAACTCCCAGAATTCCTGAGCCAGCATGGCTCAGCTTGGAAACCTCTCCCTTTCCCCTCAGCGTGGCTGGCTCAGGAATTCTGGGAGTTGAACTCTACAGCTCATAAAGAGGCCATAGTTCCCCAGCCCTGCTTCTAGACCAGGGGCAGGCAACCTTGGCTCTTTTATGACTGGTGGCCTTCAACTCCCAGAATTCCTGAGCCAGCATGGCTCAGCTTGGAAATCTCTCCCTTTTCCCTCAGCATGTCTGGCTCAGGAATTCTGAGAGTTGAAGTCCATGAGTCATAAAAGAGCCAAGGTTGCCTCCCCCTGCTCTAGGGGCATCAGGAAATCAAAGGGGTGGAGCAGGCAAGGAGGGGAAGCTCTTTCCCACAGAGCCTCCATACCTCAGTAACAGCAAAGACCCTTTTCCCGCAGGGCACCATCTTGTACCATTTGTCGTGCAGGAGGTCCATGAAGCCGGCAGACTTGTAGCGGCTGATGAACTCGGAGACGTTGGAGGTCAGAGGTGAGTTCTGGGGAAGGCCGATGCCGTAGCCTGGCACAGTCCGAGAGAATTGGGAGGGGTGTAAAAGAGGAGAAAGTTTTTACTTGCCATCCAGAAGGTCTATGAGAATCTCAGTCCTCCAGGTCGTGGTTGTCCCAAAGGCGCTGTTCAAAAGGCCATTTGGATCTTTCTTGTTATAAAGTGGTCAGACGTTTTGCGACATTGGAAGGGACCGAGTTGAAGCCGCTGACCATTGGTCTGAGTTCCCTCTTGGTGGGATTTTGGGGGAGCTCATATAGGCATGGAGTGGCTTTCCCAGGATAAAGGCAGTTAGTAATGCGGATACTGCCTTGTTGCAGGAAATCAGTGACCGGAAAGTCCAGTTTCCTTTTGAACAGCATCTTTGGGGCTTCAGTACAGAACATGCGCAGATAAAAGATCACATGAAGTATTAATACCACTCTACAATGCCTTGGTAAGGCCACACTTGGAATACTGCATCCAGTTTTGGTCACCACGATGTAAAAAAGATGCTGAGACTCTAGAAAGAGTACAGAGGAGAGCAATAAAGATGATTAGGGGACTGGAGGCTAAAACATAAGGAACGGCTACTGGAATTGGGTATGTCTAGTTCAGTGATGGCGAATCTTTTAGAGACCGAGTGCCCAAATTGCAACCTAAGACCCACTTATGCATCGTTGGGTGCCGGGTGGGTGTGGCCAATTGGGTGGGTGTGGCCCATTGGGTGAGCGTGGCTGTGGTGGTAACAGCAGACTGGATGGGACTAAAAAGTTCAATCAATCAATTCCAACTTTGCAAGATCTTTTTTTTTCCCGCGAGAAGTTGAAATTGACTGATTGATTGAACCTTTTTTTTTTTTGCACACGGCGGCAGAGGCCTAAAGCGAAAAGGTTTTATAAAACCCAGCTGAAGGCCTAGGACTGGGGCGACGACGTGCATGCCCACAGAGAGGGCTCTGAGTGCCGCCCCTGGCACCCGTGCCATAGGTTCGCCACCACTGGTCTAGTTTAATGAAGAGAAGGTCGAGGGGGGACATGATAGCAGTGTTCCAAAATCTCAGGGGCTGCCCCAAAGAAGAGGGAGTCAAGCTATTCTCCAAAGCACCTGAAGGCAGGACAAGAAGCAACGGATGGAAACTAATCAAGGAGAAAAGCAACCTAGAACTAAGGAGAAATTTCTGACAGTAAGAACAATTAACCAGTGGAACAACCTGCCTCCAGAAGCTGTGAATGCTCCAACACTGGAAGTTTTTAAGTTGTTGTTGTTGTTGTTATTGCTGTTGTTGTTATTATATTATTATTATTAAAACCTTCCCTTTCACCACAGACACCGGAAGAGCCATTGGCTTCCTTTTGCTATCACATGCTATCAGGAAGTCAAGAGGGTGAAAAAAGTCAAGATGGTAGCTATGGCCACATAATCAAGACCACAACCAACTTTTTCACACACACACACACTGCGAATGCTCCTATTTTTACACTCAGGTTTCTAGATACAAAGTGAAGTATTTTATGAACCAATACATAATTATCTTTTGGAGCCTCCTGGGAAAGCATTATAAAAATTAAGCAATAGCCACTAGAACTTAGATTTACCAGTATACCGCTTCCTGGTCCTTTACAGTCCTTTCTAAGAGTCAGCCTATTTCCCCCCCAACAATCTGGGTCCTCATTTTACCGACCTCGGAAGGATGGAAGGCTGAGTCAACCTTGAGCTGGTCAGGATCAAACTGCTGGCAGTAGGCAGAATTAGCTTGCAATACTGCCTTCTAAGCATTGCGCCACTACGGCTCTTAGTTAAAGTCACATTCTCCATAAAAGGAGAAATATTTATGCATTTCCTTAGTTTTAATTTTTCATGCTTAAAGATTGAAGATACCTGTTTTTAACAGAATGAGCCAATCTGGACTAAGGCCACATTTGGCTACCGATTCCCTTCCTTGCTCTGCCTCAATCCAGATGTTTTTGCCATACCTTCAATAGCGAACGGCTTTCCAACAGTTAAGAGTTTGCAGTCTGAATCAATGGAGACCTCGTATTCCAGCAAAGATTTATCCATGATGAAGGCATTCAGCTTTGGGGGGTTGGTCCTGGTGAGGAGAAACAAGCTGCCATTAAGCTGGGCAGCATTAATTAGGTCTACAGGTAGTCCTCATTCAGCGACAGCTATGACAGTGACGAAAAAGTAACTTTGCAATCAATGCCTGCATTTACAACTTTCACAGCATCTCACTCTCTCATCAGAACCCTCAATTTATTCATTCCTCCACTTCAGATATTCTTTGTGCTTAAGCTGTTGGGGTCTACATGCTTCCTTTGTCTGCTTTGATGTATCCTCTCCACAGTGTGAGAAGAATGCCTCGGGGCCATCTGCCTTATCTCGGTGCAGAGGGAAGAAACTGCGATGAGAAAGGCATCTTATCGGTCTGTTTCACACGGTTCATTGTCACCTATGGATTGGCCTGTTTGAACTGACCGGACGGACAGTTGGGGTGGGGTTATTATTATACGGGTTTTGCCTTTCAATTTGAGTGGGAAACCCTCAGATCCTGCCTAGCTTTCCTGCTGTCTGTACCTGCCAATAAAAGTTCCTTTTGAAATGATGCAAGTTTCAAGAGTTCTGCTTTCTTGGTAGGGAAATGGAGGCAGATTTCCCCCCCTCTTTCTCTCTGTCTCACTCCCTCTCTCTCTTTCCTCTCTCTCTCTCTCCCTTTCTCTTTCATCTCCCTCTCTCTTTCCTCTCTCTCTCTGTCTCACTCCCCCTCTATCTCTCTTTCCTCTCTCTCTTTCTCTTTCCTCTCCCTCTCCCTCTCTCCCTCTCTCTCCCCCCCTCATATGACAAGTAATCCTCGACTTACAAAGGCGATTGGAACCAACATTTCGGTTGCTAAGAGATGTGGTCGTAAGACATGACCTGACTGCATCGCTTAGCGTTCTCATTGCCATTGTTAAGTGAGGATCATGGGTCATTAAGGGAGCACCTCTTCACAATTCCTTCCGTGCTGACTTTGCTTGTCAGAAGCCAGCTGGGAAGGTCGCAAATGGTGATCACATGATCCCAGGACAATGCAACGGTCATAAATCCCTGCTGGTTGCCAAGTGGCTGAATTTTGACCCTGTGACCGTGTGGGATGCTGTGACAGTCGTGAGGACAACACTGAGTCACGAGTCACTTTTTTCAGTGCTTTCGCAACTTCAAATGGTCGCCTAAGTAAGTAAATGGTTATACGTCAAGGACTACTTGTATTGTTTCCTTAAGACTTAAGGATGCCCAAGAACAAATTTCAGTGACATTACCTCAGCAAACACAATGGGGTTTTAATACAATATAATGATTAATTGGTAAGATCCTCGTAATCTGTCTCAACGTGTGTCCTGCACAAAAATCTATCTTCCTGACCCAATCAAGTTGGTAAAATGTGAACAGTGGGGGAGGGGACAGAGGAAGGATGGTAACCCATCGTTCCTCATGTTAAGGGGGAAAGTATAACAGAAGCAGAATGCTTAGTTAGACTTGCCTCTTTCTTTGAGGGACGTGACTTATAGCCCACCTTTCATTATTCAGGAGCTCAGGAGACTCCTTCTCTCTTCCTTCTCTCATTTCCCCCTGCAAGAATAACCTGGTGAGCTGAGGTAGGCTGGGCTGAGAGAAGAGGGTAGGCCTAAGTCCCCCAAAGAGCTTCTTTAGCTGAGGAAGGATTTGAAGCTGGGTTCTCCTGCTCTAGTCCAGCACCCTCGCCACTGGACCACCTGGCTTTGGGCTGAGAGAGAGGCACAGCCCAGGGGTAGGCAACCTTGGCTCTTTTATGACTTGTGGACTTCAACTCCCAGAATTCCTGAGCCAGCATGGCTCAGCTTGGAAACTTCTCCCTTTCCCCTCAGCATGGCTGGCTCAGGAATTCTGGGAGTTGAAGTCCACGAGTCATAAAAGAGCCAAGGTTGCCTGAGGTGTGACAAGAACCTGGATCTCCCTGTTCTTGGTCCAGGACCTTCAGCACTGGACCACAGTGGCTGTCTGGATGAGGGGCTGGCCCTAGGTCTTCCAGGGGTCTTCCATGGCTGAAGGGAGATTGGAACTCAGTCCCCAGTCCAGGCTTTTGAGGTTCTACCTATTAGCACAGCACAGATGACTGGAGAGAGGGATGATCTTAGCTTCCTCTCAAGCAAACAATTGACCAGGTCCTTAAGGAGAAACATCTCCAGATGTTTCAAGTGGTTTCCTGCAGAAACCTTTTGAAATTAGACAAGTGGCCCCCAAAGGCAGGAACTACAACTGGAAGAGATGCCAACCCACCACAACACCAACATCACTCCCCCCCCCCCGAATTGTCCTTCTCCAGGCCACGCCTCCCTTACTTGAGCATCGTGATCCCCGCAGGAGTGGTGGGGACGCTGTGCCGCCTCATGTATTCATGCATGTCTGGGAAACTCTTCTTGATATATTCCTCTGCGCTGCTCTCCCAGACGGTGCCAAAACGAAAACCCTGGGACGGATGGTGGAGCTGCAGAAAGCAAAACCGGGATAAGACCCATCTGCTCCTAGATTTGGTGTTGTTTGTTTTAAATGGGAGTGGAATTCTTTTCTTTTAATGTGAACATTCTTTTAAATTATTGCAACGGAAATCAGGGAGGGAGGATAAAAGAAGGGAAAGAAATGGAGGGTGGATAAAGCAGAAAAAAGGAAAGGATGTGGTTTCATGGGATGTTCTCAAATGAGAACGTGTCAGCAACAGAAGGGTGACAAACCTCATAGAGGATTTGAGAACAGGAAAAAAAAAGGCCTGCAGGATTGTCTTCTGGCATTTCAAGAGATGAAAGCAACTCTCGGACTGAAGATTAAAATTTTAGTTTAGGGGAATGCAGAATAACAGAGTTGGAAGGGACCTTGGAGGTCTTCTAGTCCACCCACTGCTCATACAATTCTAGACCAGTGGTTCTCAACCTTTTTAATGCCGCGATCCCCAACCGGTCGTAAGTCGAGGACTACTCAATCGGTTTTAAGTCGAGGACTACTCAACTGGTGCAGCACCGTTGGCAGAATGGGACTTTTGGCGGGCTCAGCAGGGCAGAGACAGCCTGGACAATTCCTATTGGCTTTTGAAAGCCAATAAAATTAGACTCTATTCAAGAGAGTCTATTCTATTGGCTTTCAAAAGCCAATAGAATAAAAGGGAGTAGCACAGCTAAGGGGAAAAAAATGGCGGACTGCGTTGTTTGGCGACCCCCGTGAAATGGTCGTTCGACCCCAAATGGGGCCCCGACCCACAGGTTGAGAACCACTGTTCTAGACAAATGGCTGTCCAATCTCTACAATGATAAAAGAACCCACAACTTCTGGAGTCAAGCCATTCCACTGGTTAATTGTTCTCACTGTCAGGAAAGTTTTCCTTTGTTCTAGACTGGAGCTCTAATAAGTTTCCATCCGTTGCTTCTTCTACTGCCCTCCAGTGCTTTGGAAATCAACCAAAATATAATATTTTAGGAGGTTTTTAAATACTATTCAGAGTGCGAGAAAAAGGGGGAAAATTTGTTTTTCCCATTCTGATCTCATTGGATTAGTAGGTTAAACTGAAATTGGCATTAGGAATCTTCCCTCAAACAGACAGTCATGCAAGATTTCACCATCTCAAGATGTCACAGAAATGTCACAGGTTTTGAAAAAGGACTAAATAAAATCATGGAGGAAGAGGAAGATGAATGGAGATATGCAAAGAGGTACTTGGGGCTTCTGTTGCAAGGTATACAAATAGTCCTTGACTTATGACCACAACTGAACCCAAAATTTTTGTTGCTACATGAGACAGTGAAGTGAGTTTTTATAACCTTTCTTGCTACAGTTGTTAAATGAATCACTGTAGTTGTTAAATCAATAACACAGCTGTTAAGTGAATCTGACTTTCCCATTGACTCTGCTTGGCAGAAGTTGCAAAAAGTGATCACATGACCTTGGGACATTGCAACTGTCATAAATATGAGTCAGTTGCCAAGCATCTGAATTTCACGACCATGGGGATTCAGCAACGGTCATAAGTGTGAAAATGGTCACAGGTCACTTTTTTCAGTGCCATTGTTAAGTTCGAATGGTCACTGCATGAACTGTTGTAAGTTGAGGACTATCTGTAGTCTACCACTAAGTGTCTGCTGTTGGGGTAAATAGCAAAGGAGAGGACTTTGGGAACATCAAGGGGAGGAACCCGGAGTCAACAAACTCTGGTTAGATGCAACATAACTGTTCTTTTTTTTTTTTAATGGTCCACAAAGCTAGAAGGTGATGGAGGGGAAGACAAGCTCAACAATGGGACACAGGAAAGCAGAGAAAGGGAAAAAATTTGGAGGAAAGAAGCTGGAGAAGAATGTAAGACAGGGAGACTAAGTAGGGCACGGTTAAAGAAGGGCAAGGAGCATAGAAAGTATTTGTTCAACCTTGGGGTCATGAATCCCAGAGAGTTCCTCAAACGTTTTTTCGCCCACCATCACTGCGGCCAGGTTGGCTGTGTAGCTGGAAAGGACTAAGAGGCAGAAGATGGCCCAGAGGTTCATGAGGAAACGGCCTGTCCAGCACTTGGGGGTCTTGCTGGAGACGGTGCGGCCAAAAAGGATGGCATAGCAGAGGTTCAGGGCGGAGGAGTAGGAGAAGATCTTCATGCGGTTGCGGCCGTGGGGCGTCATGCCGTAGGGGCTCTTCCACTCATACAAGGTGAGGAAGAGGGCCGTCATGTGGAGAGCCACGAAGATGCCCACCCACATGGTCCAGTGTAATGGCCACATGAAGGCCCCGATGGGCGATGCCGTGTCCCGGATCCTCACCAGGATGCCCAAGCTGGTGGAGAAGAAAGGGCTGGTGAAGTCAATCACTTGGCTCCGGGCTGAATTGATGCTGAAGGAGGTCACGGCCATGTGGGCCGTGCCACTCAAGAGATCTCCTACCAGCCCCGTCCAGCGGCCGTTCTTCCAAGCCCCGTACTTTCCATCCCCCACAATGTAGAGGTCAAAGTCAAAGGGCAAGTCTTCAGCCAGCTTCTCCAAGAGGTCGATGCAGTAGCCGTAGCAGCACTTTCGGTACTCCATGGGCATGGAGCCATTCTCTGAATTCAGTTCCTCAAAGAGGGCGTTGAGCACGGAGGAGTCGTTGGTGTGAGGGTCTAGGCAAAGTTGCCCCGCTGGACAGTTGCCCTCTTCGTCTACCTGGAAAGAGCACTCAATTAATACCTTTTGAATATATAGCAGGAAATAAAAGGGGTCGGCCAGGAGAAAGCTGGAGATCAGTCCTCTCCAACTTGACAACCTCCAAAACGTTTTAGTCCTAGCTCCCTGCAAATGGATTAGGTCAAGGGTAAGCAACCTTGGCTCTTTTATGACTCGTGGACTTCAACTCCCAGAATTCCTGAGCCAGCCATGCTGAGGGGAAAGAGAGAGGTTTCCAGGCTGAGCCATGATGGCTCAGGAATTCTGGGAGTTGAAGTCCACGAGTCATAAAAGAGCCAAGGTTGTCTACCCCTGGACTAGGCAAATAGACTTACAATGTTTCCCCGAAAATAAGACCCAGTCTTAATTTTTTTTTGCCTCCAAGAGGCATTAGGTCTTATTTTCATGAGGGGGGGCCTTTTCCACTCACTTCCGGCACTGACAGACCCACCCAGCTGGCCCATTTCTTCTGCGGCTGAAGGAGCAGCTTCATTCTGCAGGACTGAATGGAGCTCGGGCCTGCCTTTTGCAGTCAGAGGCCTTTCCAGAAGGCCTCTGCAGCTGATAACTGAGCTATGGATTCAATTTATAGCTCGGTTCTCGGCTGCAGAGGCCTTCCAGGAAGGCCTGACTGTGAAATGCAGGCTTGGGGACGCCACAGAAGAAGTGGGCCAGCAAGGAGAGGCCTGGCTACCAGGTAAGTGGGTGGGGAGTGCAGGAGGCAGTTCTACCCCCCCCGCCCTTGCCCTAGCTTGATTTTTAGGCGTGTGCCTCACCCCAAAACTAGGGCTTATTTTTGGGTTAGGGCTTATATTAGGCCCACCCCCAAAAGTCAAGGTAGGGCTTACTTCGGGGTAGGGCTTACTTTCGGAAAAACACGGCAGAATGATTGCTGAATGAATAATCGGTAAGTGAGCACTACCTGTATGTACTTGTGTGCTATTTTGGGATGCATGCAGTTTGCACTGCAATACGGCATACTGATACGACATACTATTTCATCATGTTTTGGCGTTATATCTCAATTTGCACCAGAAAGAGACCATACATATGTGCTCCCCATCTGGCTCTGTTTAAATGTGCAGGACTACAACATCCATTGTTTCCAGCCAATCTGATCTTCTCTATGTGGAGGATGGATGTTATACAGGTAGTCCTCAACTGAGCCCAAAATTTATGTGGCTAAGCCAGACAGCTGTTAAGTGAGTTTTACCCCATTGTACGATCTTTTTTTTGCTACAATTGTTCAATGAATTGCTGCAGTTGTTAAATCAGTAACACAGTTGTTAAGTAAATCGGGCTTCCACACTGACTTTGTTTGTTACAAATGATGATCACATGACCCTGGGACACTGCAATCACCATAAATACATGCCAGTTGCCAGGCATCCAAATTTTGATCACATGACCATTGGGATGCTGCAACGGTCGTTAAGTGTAAAACACAGTCAAAAGTCACTTTTTTCAGTGCCATTGTAACTTCAAATGGTCACTAAACAAAGGGCTTTAAGTTGAAGACTAGGTATCTGTAATCAGCAGATCTGGAGAATGCCAAGTTAATCAAAGGCTGTTATATGTTGCCCAATTTTATATTTTTTTAAGATAAGAGATAACCTTTATTGTCGTTTTTTTACTGTGGGCACAACGGCACACATCAAAAATGAAAATTAGTTGCCCGCTCTCAAAGTGAAACACATACATGACACACAGCTAAAACATACTATATACAACATATATATAGACCCACCACCCCTACATATATGTAACAAATAAATATTAAATACTGTACATCTTGAATATATAACGGAAGGAGGAAGCTTGAGAGTTCACAAGGTTATTGCTGTATGGAATGAAACTCTGGCTGAACTGGATCTTCTGGTGTGCTCAGCAGGTTCCCCCACGTATCCGATATACCTACGCACCTCCCGGATGAAGACAAAGGGGTGCTCCACCAAGGTCACCACCCGCAGCTTCATGCGTGAGAAGCCCCCGCCCTCAGCCTGGTTCCTGCGCTGCAGGTGCTGCGGCCAGCTGCCCTCCTCGGCCTCCATCTCGCCCCCCTTCCAGCTGCCCACCGTCACCCACGTGGGCTGGCCCACTGAATCCCTCAGCAGGCTCCAGATTTTGTAGTGACGGTCAGTGTGGATGTGGGACGTGTTGTGCACAAAGACCTCGCCAGTCTGGCCATGGAAAGATGTGTTGGCTAAAAACCTGGAATATGGAGAGAGAGAAAAAAGCAGGTATCAGGATAACAGAACGACAGCATTGAAAGGAACCTTGGAGGAATGGAATGGAAGAGAATAATGGACTGGACTGGACTGGGCTGGGTTGGAATAGAATAGAATAGAATAGAATAGAATAGAATAGAATAGAATAGAATAGAATAGAATAGAATAGAAGAGTTGAAAGGGACCTTGGAGGTCTTCTAGTCCAACCCCCGGCTCAAACAGGAGACTTTATACTACTTCAGACAAATGGCTGTCCAATCACTTCTTAAAAACCTCCAGTGATGAACACCCACAACTTCTGAAGGTAAGTCATTCCACTGATTAATTGTTCTGTCAGGAAATTTCTCCTTATTTCTGGAATTGTTCTCTCCTTGATTAGTTTCCATTCATTGCTTCTTGTTCTGCCTTCAGGAGTTTTGGAGAATAGGTTGACACTCCCCCTCCTCATCTTTGTGGCAGCCCCTGAGATATTGGAAGACTGCTATCATGTCCCCCTTAGTCCTTCTTTACATTAAACTAGAAAAACCCAATTCCTGTTTTAGTCCTCCAGCCCCCTGATCATCTTTGTTGCTCTTCTCTGCACTCTTTTTAGAGTCTCAACCTCTTTTTTATATCATGGCCACCAAAACTGGATGCAATATTCCAAATGTGGTCTTGCCAAGGCCTTATAAAGTGGCACGAACACGTCACATGATCTTGATTCCTGAGTTTCTAAAATGCTCTGCTGCTAATTGGTAGAAGGCTTTACTATGGTTGCAATCACAGGTGTCAAACACAGCTGCCCAAAGCAGGTTAAAACACAGCTGGATAATATTTAAGAAAATAAAGTAATAACATAGCAAAGCATGGACAACATACGTTTTAAAACTAAATAATAAATTTGGCCACCGATTGCCAAAACACTAAATTTGTGATTTATGCAGAGTCTTGCACAAGCTTTTGCTGCTGGAACTTAATAGCTGCAGCACAGGTTGCTAGAAGCCTGTGATAGGAGCTCCCTAAATGGAACATAGGTTAGTCCTCGATTTAAGACCACAGTTGAGACTGGAGCTTCCATTGCTATGCCAGGCGGTTGTTAAGTGAATTGTGCCCAATTTTATGACCGTTTTGCCCCAGTATATTAAGCAAGTCACTGCAAATGTTAAATGAAACATGTAGTTCTTACTTTAAGTCAGGGGTCTTCAAACTTGGCCCTTTTATGACTTGTGGACTTCAACTCCCAGCATGCCTGGCTGAGGAATTCTGGGAGTTGAAGTCCACAAGTCATAAAAGGGCCAAGTTTGAAGACCCCTGCTCTAAGTGAACTCAGCTTCCCTCATTGACTTTGTTTCTTGCAAGCCAGCTGGGAAAGTCGCAGAGGGGGATCACATGATCCCGGGATGCTGCATCTGTCACAGTACGTGCCAGTTGCCAAATGCCCAAATTTTGATCATGTGACCAGAGAGACACTGTTGTAAGTGTGAGGGCAGGTCGTAAGTCACTTTTTTCAGGGTGGTTTAACTTTCAACAGTGGTTAAACAAGTCGAGGACTAGCTGGGTAGGAAAGGTGTTACCAATATGTGGCCCTTGGGTATTGTTATGCAGCCTTTAATGCAGGGGTCCCCAATCCCCGGTCCGTGGACCAGTACCAGGTCGTGGCATGCCAGCAACAGGTCCATGCAAACAAGCAAAGCCCCATCTGTGGGATGGAGGCAGCACCAAAACCATGCACTCTCAGGTCCGTGGAAAAACCTTTCTCCACAGAATCGGTCCCTGGTTGGGGACCTCTGCTTTAATGGGCCCCCTTTCAATTTGGGTTTGGCATCTTTGATTGAGATGCACTTTGCAAATAAACCTGGTGTCCTCTAGGTTGCTAAATTGGGATTTCATCTCTCATAATTCTAATAGTAATAGTAATAGTAGTAAAGTTGGAAGGGACCTTGGAGGTCATCTAGTCCAGCCCCCTGCTCAGGCAGGAAACCCTACACCATTTCGGACAAATGGCTGTCCAGTCTCTTCTTAAAAACTTCCAGTGTTGGAGCATTTACTGCTTCTGGAGGCAGGCTGTTCCACTGATTAATTGTTCTCACTGTCAGGAAGTTTCTCCTTAGTTCTAGGTTGCTTCTCTCCTTGATTAGTTTCCACCCGTTGCTTCTTGTCCTGCCTTCAGGTGCTTTGGAAAATAGCTTAATTCCCTCTTCTTTATGGCAGCCCCTGAGATATTGGAATACTGCTATCATGTCCCCCCTTGTCCTTCTCTTCGTTAAACTAGACATACCCAATTCTAGCAACCGTTCCTTATATGTTTTAGCCTCCAGTCCCCTAATCATCTTTGTTGCTCTTCTCTGTACTCTTTCTAGAGTCTCAACATCTTTTTTACATCGTGGTGACCAAAACTGGATGCAGTATTCCAAGTGTGGCCTTACCAAGGCATTGTAGAGTGGTATTAATACTTCACGTGATCTTGATTCTATCCCTCTGTTAATGCAGCCTGTTAATGTTACTCAGACTCGTTTAATTTCTTACATGCAGACCTGACGGAAATTCAGAAGCACAATCTAACAACCGGCCTCAGGGACGCTTGCCTGTTGCACCTCAGCATGAGTCCCCTGAAGAATTCCTTTTCCTCAAGGAAGGAGGTCCGTGGTATATCATTGGCCTTGCCAAGTACATATGGATAGTCCTTGACTTACATCCATTCATTTAGTGACTGGCCAAAGTTACTATGGCACTGAAAACCAGACTGGTTTTCACGCTTACGGCCGTTGCAGGGTTCCCCCCCAGTCAGGTGATCAAAACTGAGATGCTTGGCAACTGGCCTGTACTTATGACAGTTGCACTGCCCCATGATCATGTCACCCCCATTTGCAACCTTCCCAGCTGGATTCCGACAAGCAAAGTAATGGGGGAATCCAGATTTGTTTAATGTTCACAGGATTCACTTAATAACTGCAGTGATTTGCTTAATAACTCTGGCAAAAAGGTCATTAAATAGGGCAAGCTCATTTAACAACTGCCTTTCATAGGGGCTTAATTGTGGTCGTAAGTCAAGGACTACCTGTACCGAAAAATGCATGCATGCTGGGAGAAGGGATCGGTCACTCTTATGGATCCAAGAACCATGAGTGGCTTACTCACTGGGAAAGGTAGAGTCCAGAGGATTCAGAGTCCACAACGTGTTTGTCGTTGCAATTCACCATGCTCTGGATGAGGGCGAGGTCAGGACGAACGTAGACAGCCCGGGAAATGGCACGGGAGACCAGCTCTACGGCGTCCTGGACGAAGTGTTCCATGGAGGGCCTGTCCACCTCCCCAAAGGCCAAAAGACCTAAGGGCAGCCCCTCGGTCTGGAGCTCATCCACGTTCTGGGGTTGCCCCAAAATCCAGTGGAACTGCTGAGTGACCCCCAACTCCTTCGCCATCCGAAAGACGAGCTGGGAGAGTTGAGCATTGCAACCGAAAAGCAAAGCCGGGCCGGGCAATTCGCGGTATTCCTCCAAGTGCCGCCGAAGGTGGCGAGCGGCTTCTCTCTCATCGAGGAAGCTCAAGTCAATCACCGCCGTCTTCTCCAGGTGGGCGTGGCTGGTCCAGAGATCCATGAAGGCCGAGGCATCCCACGCTTGGCACAAAACCAGGGTGACGTCTTGCCAACGGTTGGCATGGAAGATGGTGACCAGCAGGTCCAGGAGAGTCTCAAAGTCACCGCATTGGTCCATGTGGAGATGGAAGGGGTTCTGCAAGGAGAAGTCAGAAGGGGGAAAAGAAAATAAAAGCAAACAAGAGAGATTTTTTTTTTCCAATTATGATACAACAGAGATGAAATTTGCAAGGCTGAAGTTTATAGGAAGGGAGATGCCATTAGCCTTGAAAAAAGCATCTTCACAGCAATGGAACCAAGGACTCGAGTCTTCTTTGTCCCCAAGCAGAGCCTGGAGCAACTAAGATTATCAAAGGCCTGGAGGCTAAAACATACGAAGAACGGCTGCGGGACTTGGGTTTGGCCAGTCTAAAGAAAAGACGAAATAGGGGAGACATGATAGCCGTGTTCCAGCATCTGAGGGGCTGCCACAAGGCAGAGGGGGGCAGGTTGTTCACCAGAGCACCAGAGGGCAGGACGAGAAACAATGGTTGGAAACTGATCAGAGAGAGAAGCAACCTGGAATTAAGGAGAAAGTTCCTGACAGCGAGGACAATCAACCAGTGGAATGGCTTACCCCTAGAAATCGTGGGCTCTCCATCGCTGGAAGTTTTTAAGAAGAGATGGTATAGGTCTGAAATGATATAGGTCCTCCTGCATGAGCAGGGAGCTGGATTAGAAGACCTCCAAGGTTCCTTCCAGCTCTATTCTGATTGATTGATTGATTGATTGATTGACTGACTGACCGACCACCTCCTCCGCCACGTCCCGATCGCCCTTCTCGCCTCACCTCGTCTATCTCCGATCCCTGGCCACCTATCTCCTCCGCCCTCTGTACGTGCCCAGAGGCCACATGCTAAACCCGTCGCCTTTCGCTTTTTCTCTCTTGCTCTCTTCCGGACGCGTCCTCGTCGCCATCGCCCCTCTCTCCCTCTCATCACTCGGGCGACCCGTTTGAGTAACCCTCTTTGCCCTGCAAGGCGGCGACGCCACCCTGCCACTGATGATGTTACCTAATTTGGGTAATGAAATGTCTGCAAGAAAACAACCAAACTCAGAAAGCACCAAGGAGTCCTCATTTCAATAAATATTCTGTTTTAGAGGCTGGACACCTGTCTATCAGGATGAATCTGGCCTCAACCTGCTGTCTTTCAATAGACCTTTAAATATGAAGCTCTTTCACCAGACACTGGGCTGGGATATGGTGTGAATTTGTTTATGGGACTGATGTTGCCTGTTCTTTTATTGGTTGTGGTTCTGCCAGACATTCAAAACCAGGAAAGACATGGATACTTCTTAAGCAGTTTCCTTTATTGTTCTTCACTCGTAGATAGAAATCTTGCCGAACTGAAGGTCCTGCTTGCATCATTAAAGATATATTTTGAGAATTTCAAGGGAGGAGCTGTCTTTCTTCCATCCAAATTGTCGAAACTTTGCTGTCTCTTGTTCCTCTGGAAAGCAGCCCCTCCCTCCTGGGAATCCAGATTACAGGTAGTCCTCAAATTACAACCAGTCATTTAGTGACCATTCAGAGTTACAACAGCACTGAAAAAAGTGGCTTAACCCCTTTTCCACCATGATCGCTTTTAATTGATTATATTGGTTGTTTCAACTTTTGAAATGGCAAAGTTGTATGCGTGATTTCAGAAGTGGAAGGGAAGAGGAAGGGAAGAGGAAGGGAAGGGGAGGAAAGGGACAGGGGAAGGGAAGGGGAAAGGGAAGGGAAGGAAGAAAACAAGAATGAAGAAATAGATGGGCAATTTCTTCTGTAAACAAAATTGAAAAGCTTCTGATGATCCAAATTTTCTGCAAACCTTGTCTGCTTAGGGTTCTGCTTAGCTACTTTGAAGCATCACTCTGCATATCACCCATGGACAACTGCTTTGGGAGCCAAGAGTGACAGCACCATAAGCCCTCCTTCTTTTTTTCTTAGCAGGGTCTCAAGAGAGCTGGTCTCTGCTGGTCCCCCTGTGCCGCAGGTCTGCAATCTTGACAACTTTAAGACTTGTGGACTTCATCTCCCACTAAGGAATTCTGGGAGATGAAGTCCACAAGTCTTAAAGTTGTCAAGGTTGCAGACCCCTGCCCTGTGCCATCCGTAGCCCCACAGCTGGTTGCAGAGAAGGCTTAAACCAGCAGTGGGGCAGCCATATAAATGTGCTAGCCACCAGCAGAGGGCAGAAGACCTCCACAGCTAAGTTTAAATTCAGCCCTGCTAGAGAAGTCTCTGAGGGGAATAAAACTAAAAGTGGAATTTCAAATAAACCTAAAGGCTCTCTTGAGTCCAGTTTTGGGCGAAAGAGAGAAGCGGTTTACGCTGCCTATTTCTAGGATGGCGTTTTGATTTCTTAGCCCGGCTTACAGCCTCGGAATTCTCTGGGGATCTCCTAAGCACATAGACACATCAGTTCTGATGTTGATTTGATTTCATTTTGAGATCGGTCGCGGTCCAGAGGATAGAGCAGTGGTGGCGAACCTATGGCACGGGTGCCAGAGGTGGCACTCAGAGCCCTCTCTGTGGGCACACGCACTGTCCCCCCAGTCCTAGGCCTTCAGCTGGGTTTTATAAATCCTGTTTGCTTTAGGCCTCCGCCACCATGTGCAAAAAAAAAAAAAAAAGGTTCAATCAGTCAATTTCAACTTCTTGCAGGAAAAAAAAGATCTTGCAAAGTTGGAATTGATTGATTGAACTTTTTAGTCCCACCCAGTCTGCCATTACTACCGCAGCCACACCCATCCAATTGGCCATGCCCACCCAATTGGCAACACCCACCCGGCACTCGACGATGCATAAGTGGGTTCTGAGTTGCAGTTTGGGCACTCAGTCTCTAAAAAGTTCACCATCATTGGGATAGAGCAATACAGCCCCATTTTTTTATCCCCCTCTAAAAGAAGGGTCCTCAAACTCTCTAGCATATCAGCACCTTCATGAAGCTTTGGATTGTTCATTGACACCCAACATTTATGACATGAACATAATTTAATAAATAACTACTTTAACTAATAGTACCGGTTGTTGTTGTTAGTTGCGAAGTCGTGTCTGACCCATCGCGACCCCATGGACAACGTTCCTCCAGGCCTTCCTATCCTCTACCATCTTCTGGAGTCCATTTAAGCTCACGCCTACTGCTTCAGTGACTCCATCCAGCCACCTCATTCTCTGTCATCCCCTTCTTTTATTGCCCTCAATCTTTCCCAGCATTAGACTCTTCTCCTGTGAGTCCTTCCTTCTCGTTAGGTGGCCAAAGTACTTGAGTTTCACCAGTTGCCCTCGGTTAATAACCGTTTGTTCAGTGACCATCTGAAGTTATGATGGCTCTGAATGTGGAGATTTAGGGCTGGTCTTTGAAGCTACAACCATCTCAGCAGTCACATGATCACAATTTGGGCTCCTGGTAACCAGTTTGCAATTATAACTGTTGCAGTTCTCAGGATCATAAACCTTCAATGCTGGCTACCGACCAGCAAAGTCATTGGGGAAGCCTGCAGGAGAACACAAATGGCAATCACGTGATATCACAGGGTTTGCTTATCAACGACAACTGGAAATGCCAAACTCGTGGTTGCTAACACTGTCCTGTGAAGTTGCACTTCACAACCATATCACTTAGCGACAGGATGTCCGTTTTGAAGATTCAGACTATCCTAAATTGCAGCGGGGGTGACATGACTTCAAATATCCGTTGCAAGGAAGCAATAACAGAAAAGGGATAAAACTCCATTTATTAAGAAGCATCGGATCTGCCCCCAAATGAAATGTTGGACCAAGAGTGGCCTTGGCTTCATCCAGGAAGGCTATTCTTATATTTTAACAAATGCAAATATTTCATTCTGAAATCATTAAAAAAATGTCCACCGTCATTGTCACCATCACCATTCCATTGATCGTGGCATGAATCAAGGCGACATTTTGACGAAGGAAACGAAAAGGAGACCGGGAAAAACTCTTATAAACAACCCTTGGGCGGCATATAAATACTGAAAATAAATAAAATAAATAAATAAACCCTTATGTATATCAGGAGGCAAAATCTGGAACTGGGAGGAAACAGAGATGGACAACTCTTTCTGCTAAACAGGTCTCTGTTGGGGCATTTCAGCAATTGAGCCACACCGAATCCAGGAAGGATAACCAGTTTTGGAAAGTAAGGGGTTCTGTGTGCCAAATCATGCAGCATTACAACAAGCATATTCTGCTATGCAGGTAATTATGCTGTACTCTTCCTTGTAGGTCAATCCAATATTTCAAACACAGACTTGCCAAGTCATTAACTTCTTCTGCAGCCTAACGAACAACTTTATGTGTTTAAAGTAGTCAATGATTCCTGCCAGTCTCAATGGCAGTGAATCTTCTCCCAGCTTCAGCTAGCCTCTGACTCTCTACAGTAGGTCCTTTATGACCTGTGGACTTCAGCTCCCAGAATTCCTGAGCCACAGGTACTGAAGGGGTCCACAGGTCCTAAAGGGGCCATAGTTCCCCACCCCTGCTCTACAGGCTCTTGTCAATGCGTGCGTGGCAATTTCTGAGGGGCTGCCACAAGGCAGCAGGAGTCAGGTTATTCACCAGAGCACCAGAGGGAAGGACGAGAAACAATGGTTGGAAACTGATCAGAGAGAGAAACAACCTAGAATTAAGGAGAAACTTCCTGACAGTGAGGACAATCAACCAGGGGAACAGCTTGCCTTCAGACATCATGGGCACTCCATCATTGGAAATCTTCAAGAAGAGACTGGACAATTACCTGTCTGAGATGGTATAGGTTCTCCTGCTTGAGCAGGGGGCTGGACTAGAAGACCTCCAAGGTCCCTTCCAGTTCTATTCTATTCTGTTCTGTTCTGTTCTGTTCTATTCTAAAGCACAGACATGACAATATTGTTGTCAGTGTACTCGCAATGCCATCCCCAACTGCTTTATTATTTCTGATTTTCCAACCTCCCTTTGACGTAGAGGCAGTCCACAACTTAAAACCATTCGTTTAGCGAACATTCGAAGTTACAACGGCACTGAAGAAAGTGACTTATAATAGTCCTTGCATCAATGAGCTTTGCCGCATCCCATAATTTGTGTGCTTGGCAACCGGCATGTATTTAGAATGG